AGGATGTGGGCTGAGGGGCCCCAGGATCCTGGCCCTGGTAGGCTTTGTCTGCTGAGCAGAGTTGCTTGCAAGCTAAGGGGAGTGGGTACAGAGTTTTAAGCTGAGAAGCCCATGATCCAAAGGGTGCAAACATGTCTCCCTCTGAATAGGGGTATCTTCTTCATTTGAAGGCCCTTGGGGTCCTTGGCATTAATAAGCCTCATGTTTTCTCTCTTCTCTGCTTTGAAGCCCTAAGGAGGATGGGAAAGCTCAGTTCCCTGCAGCCCAGATGGGAGAAAGAGGGAGGGAGAGAGGGAGGAAGTGAGAGGGGGAGGAAGGAAGAGAGGGAGCGAGGGAGGGACACCCAAGCAGGACCTACAGGGCTGGGCAGTCGTGTGGCTGGCTGGTGAGAAATCTCTGCCCTGAGATGCAAAGGGGGCCTTGTGCGCAGACGGGGGGCACCAAAGGGCCTCTCACTGGCAGCTTGGGGGCAGCGGGGGGCCTTTGGGGTCCTTCAGAATTTGAGACCTGGATGCTGCAAGTATGTGCGTGAATATGTGTGGTTTGTGGGTGTATATGTGTGTATGTGGGGTGTATGGTGTGTATATGTCTGTATGTGGTGTGTGTGTGGATGCCGATGTGTGTGCGGGGTGTGTGCAGCATGTATGGGTACATATGTGTGGGGTGTGTGTATGTGTGGTGTGTATATGTGGTACGTGTGTGGTGTGTATTATGTGTACGTGTGCATGTGTGTGTGTGTGTGTGCAGGGAATCTCCAGGGGTTCATGAGGTGTAGCTTTTTCAGAGGAGAGTGAGGACTCCCCACATTTATCCCCACCAAGCCAAGGCCCAGGAGGGGACAGGCTGGTGTTTTCCTGAGGCTTCCCCTTGCACGCAACCCCACCCCCAGCCTCAGCCAAGCGCAGTACCTGCCAAGAAATTAACGGCCTATGACAGACAAGCCAGTGAGGGAGGGATGACGTGGCTCCAGGGAAGATGCAGGCAGCCGGCTGAAACCTGTTCCTGTGGCTGGTGCAGCCCTTGCCACCCTCCCCATGCCCACCTCACAGCCCCCCTTCCCCTCAGTCCCCTCCCTTCCCCTAATAGTCTTCCAGAGGCCCTGGTTGGGGGCTGTCTGGATGGTCACGTGGTGGGCAGAGGCCACACCACCAGTGCCAATGGGAGGCGTGGCCCTGCATGGCCAGTCCCTGACTTGGAGGGAGGAAGCTGAAAAAAGCTAGCCTCCCTCCAAGACTAGTCCTGCCTGTCCCCTCCCCCAAAAGCCAGAGCTGTCCCACTCTGTCCCTCTGTGGGCAATCCCACCATTTGCTGAGGCTGTTTCCTGGGAGGGCTTAGTGCTGCTGCCCGCCCCTGTCAGCGGGCATGGGTGCCAGGCCTCCTGCCCTTTACCTTTTCTGGGAAGCTTCCCGTATGTTGACTGCTGTGTACCTCTGCCCCTTTGTGGTCTGGGTGTCCCTAAATGTTACTGTCAGTCTGAGTGATGTAATTATTCAGAGCCAGTTTCGCTCTGTGAGGACCACGGGGAGGCAGACCCCACCTCCTCAGTACACGCTCCCGAGGGCTGGCTGCCCAGGCAGGGGTCTGCTCCAAGGGTGCAAAGACGGCTGAAAGACGAGCCAGCAAATGTGTGTCAGTCCTGACGTGGGTGGCCGGGAGGACGTCAGTGGAGAACATAAACAGCTCTTTCTTCCTCGGCATGTGAACTCTCTCGTTTCAAAGTTGGCATTTGCAGGGATTAGGTGAGGCTGGTGCCAGGCCCTCGCACCCATCCCACTCTTTGGAAGGGACTCAAGGTCACCACGGGCAGACATCAGGTGGGGCCCAGAGAGAGAGGCGTCCTGGGAAACGGGGAGTGAGGAGGGAGGGGCAGCGTGTGTGAAACAGGAGCAGGGCTGGGCAGGAGGCAGGAGATACGCCCCGGGAGGCTGGGAGGGCGCCAGAGGGAGGCATCATGTTTCTGGGGGAGGCGAGGGGGCCCAGCAGAGCCAGAGGCCGGGTCTGGGCAGGGAGGCGCCAGATGGGAGCCAGCAAGACTGGCCAGAGCCCAGGAACGGTGCCAGGCGGTGCCTGAGAAGGCGCCCAGCGTGCAAGCTCGCTCGAGGCCAGCCTGCGAGGCCTTACTGCCCAGGGCCGGCTCCTTTGATCTCCAAATGCTGTGGGCCTTTCTCAACTGCTGGGGCCTCCACTGCAGCTCGTGGAGAAACATGAGCCGTTTGGAGAGAATCGACAGGTTTCCAAGCAGAGAAAGAGAACAAACCGTTCCTGCCCAGCCGGCCGCCCTGCACTCTGGCGACCTTTCTCCCACGACCCGTTTCCCAGCCTGAGCTATTTCTTCCCATCTTCCCACACAACACGAGGAGCTGTTCTCTGCGGGCGAGTCCACCATTCGCCACCTTCTCCGTTCCTAAGCTCCTCTTTTAAACAGTTCCGGGACAGCTGTGATGTAACCCGCCACACACAAGCCCACAAAAATCCATTTCTCCCACCAAGAGCGGCACAATCCCTTCCTCTCTTCCCACCAGGCTTCTCCCTTCCTTCTTTCCTTTCAACAAATAGCCCCTGTGCCAGGAACTTGGGGAAATATGACAAATGACACTCTTGAATCTCACCTGGGTCTTAGTCCTTACAAGACCCTGAGGGAGCTGGCCCGGCTTATCTGCCTCTGTGTCCCCAGGAGTTAGCACAGTGCCTGCACACAGGCTCCCCTCACAGCCTTCCTGAGTCCCGAGCACAGAGGAGCAGGAGCTGTGCGAGAGTGTCGGGCTGTCTTCCCTCTACCTTCGTCCTCTCTCAGTTTGGCTTTGGTCTCCCCCAACCTCATTCTCCACGTTGACCGGTTCCATCAAGCCGCAGCTTTGTCCCTTCTTGTCGCCCAGGGCCTGACCCCTTGGGACTTGCACACACCCTTCAGTTTTCCACCCATCTCGGGGCTCAGTGCTCCAATGTCTGTGAGCTACCACCCTCCCTAGTCACAGTCCCCCGCAGGGCAAATCAGAAAGAAGCTGGCTGCGCGTCCACTACTCTAGCCTCAGTTTCCCCACTCTTTTTCAGAGCCACCTTCCTCTGGTTTACATTAGGGATCTATCTAGTTTGTGACTCACTGGGTGTCACAGCCGAGTCTGTAGCCAATGGCCCACAAGACTCAACTCCCTGACCTCATTTCCACCATTCTCCCCTCTCTCACACTGCTCTGGGCATCTGACTGCCTCTCTGCCCTCCAACCTGCCAGACAAACTCTCACCTCAGGGCCTTTGCACTTGCCATTTCTCCTATGGAGAACTCTCTTCTGCCATATATCTGCATGGCTCACACCCTCGTCTCCTTCAAATCTTTGCTTAAACGTCGCTTTCTCACCAAGGCCTTTCCTCACCCCCACATACTTCCCAAATTGCAATGTCACCACACATTCCCAGTCCTCCTCCCCTGCTTTATCTTTCTCACTTATCGCTTTCCAATATACTGCTTTCTTTATCATGTGCATTGTCTGTCTCCCTCGCTAGAATGTCAGCGATATGGAGGGAGGCATTTTCATCTGTTTTGCTTACTGCTAAATCCCCAGCATCTCCAACAGTGCTTGGCATGAAGTGGGTGCTCAATAAATACTGGCTGAAGGCATCAAGGGGATTCTACTTTCTGCCCCTCTCGAGCTCTCCCTGGGCAGGAGCTCCAGGGTGGCAGCTTCACCGTGAGTTAATGTTCATTCTGCTCCGGACCCTGCTGGAACACGGGCCCCAGTCTCCTGACAAGACGTCTCTTCCACCTGGTCCCCAGCAGAGGTGGGGGGAGCGAGCCACACCTCCCTTACTGTCCTGCCCCTTTATTAGAGGCAAGAATGGGAGCTACAGGCCTGGGGAGAAGAGAGAACTTAAACTGGAGGCTGCATGTGACTTTTCCCCCAGTCCATGGAGAAAGCACCTTCAGTGGTACTTTCCTTAAAAAATAAAAAAAAATGGTGCACACTGGAATCATCCTCTGAGGGGCTTCTCTAAAACGTTTTAATTTCCAGACTCTGCCCCAGAGATTCTTAGTGAACGGTCTGGGCTGAGGCCTGGGCTTTTTTTTTTTTTTTTTTAACTTCTTTAGTGATCCTGATGCTCAGCCAGGATTGGGAATGAGAGGTTCCGGCAATGCCTCGGGCGGTTCTGTTGTCCGCTGGAGTCCCAATAGCACCAAGAGGGAGCGTGTGCACCCTAAGGTGTCAAGTCTGGCTCTCCTGCTCGGGGAATCGTGCGTGTGCATGGAGAGTCTTCAGCTCACCCATCAGGTAACTGTTCACTCACACATTCACACACTCACACAAACACACACTGTTCTACCACAAAACAACTAATCCTCAGAGATGGCAAAGTCTAAACCGGGATTTACAAACTCAAATGCCGACTAGAACCAGGCAGGTAACACGACTGGCTGCAGCAGGTGTGTTGTCAGACGTGGAGGTGGGTGGGGAACTGATGCCCTTCTCACAGGGCAACTTCTACTCCGCGATGACCTGTTCTCGTCAAGATGGAACGCAGGCCATGTGGTGCCAGATTTTCTTCTTTGTTCTCCCCAAGAGAAATCAGAATTCAGGAATTTTAAATGAAAATAACCCATATTTTCACTTAAAAATCCTGATGCGGCCAACGGGTTGCTAACCCCAGTTTTACAGCCGCCAAACTTCCACCTCTCGCAAGGCTGACCCCTCTGACCATGGGTGGGTCTTTCTCGAGATCACATTAGGGCAGCGTCCCTTCCTTCCCGCCGCCCTTCACGTCCGAGCTGACAGGAAACGGCTGCCAGCTCCAGAGCCACACACGGCTTAATTGCTGCCCCCGCAGCTCTGCCGAGACTCCCCTGAAGCTCTGAAACAGCGGCGAGCCGCAGCGGTGTGCTGGAGCTGGCTCCCGCTGCCTGAGAGAGTCAACCGTGCCCACTTCTTCCCGAGTCCGCGCTTCGTGACATCACTTCAGCAGCCTGAAATCAGCCACGGCGAGATTATTTACACCACATGAATCAGCAAGTGCTACAAACGAGAACTTTTCTTTTCCTAGAGAGCCGGTTACACACTCACTGGCACACCACAGCATGTAAGGATTCAGGCTCTGCCAAGGGCTGGCACAGAAGCGGCGGCAAAGGGAGGAGCTTGGTTCTTCTAGTTACATAAGGATTCACATGAATGTGTGCAGTGGGCACTTTGACAGCACCTTCCTTTGAAGACCCCTGGCTACCCACTGAGAAAGACAACAATCTGAGTCCTGGAATATTTTTCCTTAATTACGGAATAATGGCTGTACAATAAAATGCCCAGATTTTAAGAGTACAGTTTGGTGAGCTGTTACTAGCGTACCCTCTTGTGTCACCACCACCCCTCTCAAGAGGAAGAATGGCTTCATCCCCCAGAAGCTTCCTCATGCTTCTTTCCAGTCATTCCTCCACCATGGGCAACCCCTGGTTCGGACTTTTATCCCCACAGATTAATTTTGCCTGTTTCAGAACTTTACCTAAATGGAACCATACAGCGGGAGTTCTTTTCCGTCTGGATGATTTCACTCAGAATCATGTTTTTGAGACTCATCCACGTTGCGGCCCATGTCAACAGTTCATTCCTCTACAGTGCTGAATGGTTTCCCACTGAACGATACCATCTCCATCCCCACGCTCACCCAAACTCAGCTCAAGGGCCCATTAATGTCCGGTTTGTACTGACCGCTGCAGGAGCAGAAAACGTCTCTCTACCTCTGAGGACAAAAAGACACTGGGCACGAGACGTGAAGGGACTTACCTTTCTCCACCAAGAGGAGCATGACAGAGCACGACGCGAACTAGGTTTGATCCTTCTGTCACTAGGGTGAGTACTTGCTCTCAGCGACACGCCACATCTCCCCAGAGTGTGGAGGCCCCATTCCCTTCTGTACTCTTGGAAGTTTCACCCCAAGGTCTCAGAGCCTATTAGTCCCCAAATTGTCGTCCATGTTTCTCTCTGAAGGCTTAGTGATTCCTCACGCCAACAACCTTCTGGTGACGATACTCCAGAATCCCCACACCAGAGATGATCACAGTTATAATGTACCTTCTTTTAGCATAATTTGGAGAGGAGGTGTTTCCTAAATTGAGTGGTTCTATCTTAGCACAGTTCTCTGCTCCCTTAATTCAGAGAGTCCCCTTGCAGGAACTGCTGGGCTGTCACTAGCTAGTGAGAAGCCCCTATTATTTCTTGGGTGGAAGCGGACCCATGCCAGCAGGGTAACCAACCGGTTTTGTGCAGAAACGGGTCGGAATGTACAAATGAAGAACTACTCACAAGGAAGGGAGTGATGGCAGGCTGGGAAAATCTTCACAGCAGTCCATGGAGGAAATTCCCAAATCCAAAGATGAGGCTTTCCCCCTGGATGTTTTGGGACTAAAAACAGCCAGCATTTATTGAGTGGTGGCTCTGCCACTCTGTTACATTCCTTGTCTCCAGTTCTTATCGTACCCCTGGGGAAACTAAGGTTCAGAGAGGCTCTCCGGGCCACACAGCTGTGAGCAGCAATGCCAGGATTCAGAGCTAGACACCTGTGACTCCAGATCGTGCGTTTCCTTCACCAGGTTGGCTGTTTCCAGAGAAGTCAGCAACTGTGGAGCTCCCAAGGCTTGATGTGGCCTGCAGAGTGTCCTCTCAGGGGGAGGAACTGTCTCTACACAAGGTGTGAAGAAATGGAGGAGGAAGACTGGAGGGAGGCTGGCATCCGGCTGCCCCTCTGGCTCTCACGTGCATGGTGCCCACTCTGGGTGTCACTAGTAGATGTGGGCCACTAGCATGTGTCATGGCTGCTGCGACCATGTTCTCTTTACAGACCACAGATCCAGAAGGCCTTTGTGCCAGCAACAACCTTGAAGTGACTGGCCTGCCAGCAGCAGCCCTAGGAAGCCCTGGGTCGTCACTCTGTACACCAGCCCCTTTTCTGTCATTACCCTCCATTTAAGAGTGTGGGGTGTCAGGCTCCGGCAGATCTGGATCTGAAGCCTGGCTCTGTCTCTTCCTGTATAAGAAATTATTAATACGGGATGAGCATTTCAACAGTGTGACTGATGTTCGAAATTATTATTTTTTCTAAGAATTTTTCTACAGACTTCCAAAAGTAGTGATGTTTGTAGTTACTATAAATCAAGCTTTGGAAATCCAAAAAATAAAGACTGCCTTCCTCGTAGACGAAAAAGCAATTTTCTGGCCACAAGGGCATAGTGCCATTCATTTTAGTGTTGATATAGTTTATACTCAGTCTCCTTGTCTCTTCTGCAACAGATACTCTTAAGTAAACCAGGTTTTCTAAATAGTAATTCTTAAAATCTCAGGTTTACAAAGTTGGTAGTAGAATTGTATTTGAAGGCCTTAGGTATTAATTTTTTTAATGAGTGCTCTAACCTAAAACAGACATTTGGAATAACTGCTGCGAGGCAGTCCTGTGTGTGACGTTTTAGGTTGGCACGTGCAGTTTTTAAGTTGACATGTAACTGTATTCGCTGTGTGACCCTGTGCAAGTTACTTAACTTTTTGTTTCCTCACCTGTGCAATGAGGATCATCATCATAACCCCGGCCTCACATCGTAACAATAAAGGAAGTTAATATTTTCAAAGCCAGTGGCAACAGTCTGGCAGGACCTGGGTACCCGTGTAGGCGTGCCTCACTTCACTTAGCAGAGGAGTCCCTGAATATAGGAATATATGGTTGAATTTAGGTCGTAAAACTGCTCAAGAGAATCTTATGTGTTTTGGGGGAGGGCGGGGGCAGTGGTGCCCGAACCTTTTGATGTCTGGCCTCTGGGTAGGGTTGATGTCTGGATGTGGGACCCCGAGGATCCAGGATGGAAGGAAGGTCAGTGCTCTTCCCTCCCACCGCAGGAAAACAGAGGCAGCAGCCAGAACATTCTCACCCAGAACTAGTAAACAAAGAGCCTACATCCAGACAAGCCCATCTTCTTTACACCCGGGTAAATTCTCCCGACACTTGGCACACATCGTCCCTCCCCAGGTGAGGCCTGAACTCGCTGACCTTGGCATGGCCTCAAGATCACTGCTGATCTGGTTAGTGTGATGCCAACTTAGTTGCAATAGTGGGTACTTACTATTTTGTCTTCTTTTTTCATTGTAACATTAGCTCACCGCAGGATTCCACGCGCTGGTGGTTCATATACTTGGCAATTCTCAAGATCTATAGGAGTCTTATTTCTTGCCAATTTTCCACTGTTTGTTTGATCCTGCTTTGGGGCACATGGGTCTCCCTAAAGTTTTCATCCTGTAAAATGGTGCTACCATAAATAACTTTGTGCAATTTTTTAAAGTACTTTTGCTTTTTTCATTCATTTTCTAGAAATTATTTAGTGAGTTCCTACCATGTGCCAGACATTGTGCCAGCCATAAATAGGACAGTCCCTGCTCTCAAGGAACTTACAGCCTAACAAGGGAGACTGACAAGAATGTGCCATGTGGCAAGCGCTGTGGGTGGTAATTGCAGAGGGTAATGGGATCCTGGGCCACTAACCAGCTCAGGGCTCCCCGCTTTATAGCTCCAAGAACAGAGCACTAGGTTGCTCCATAGAGTGAATGCTGAGCAAGATCTTCTTTCATTCAATCACTTTAGTGAATACATTTTCCATTTCTAGATGATCTGTTTGATTCCTTTGCAAATATACCTGTTCTTTTTTCTCAACATCCTTTTCTTTTTTCTAGTACTTTCTATCCTTTATCTTTGGCTTCAACTGAAAACTATATTTTCCCTCTTAAAGTTTCTTCCCGATTGCCCTATTACATCAAGTTCCTGGGAGTATTAATCCTCCTGTTTTGTCCATTCACTCTCAGGATGGAATGTGTTTTTGAGTGCTTTGTGATTTTTTTATGGTGAGGATTTTTTTTCTTCCTCTTGGCGTTCCTGTGAGCCCTGGGTTGTGGAAATATGGCTAGAGTGCTGTTTTCTCTGTGCTTCTGCTCGGTTCCCTAGGGGTCTAACTGCTTTAACTGACCCCTTTTCACTTTTATTCTTTGCTTAGGGAAATTGTTCAATCCCTTAGAAACAATTTACTGAACATCTGCTATATGTATATCCTCCATATTGGGTGCTGTGGAAGATACAAAATAATGCAAGACAACACAATGTGGCTGCCTCACCTGAAACCACAGTCAGAAAGGTCCAAATACACAGAAAAAGGTAGGTGACCACAGAAAGCAGAGCAAAAGGCCTAATAGTGAACATGCAATCGAGTTTGGAAGGAAAAACAGACAGGCGGAGAAAAATGGGGAGGAAAAGCCCAGAGGAGGAGAAGGGTTATGTGAAGGAGTTTCTGAAGGAAAGAGAGGTAACCCCACCCCCAAGCTGGAAACCTGACTTCTGAGTAGAGAATTGTGTGCTACTGTAACACCCGATGAGGCTGTGGATGAACTCGAATTTATGGCCCCTGTTGAGAATGCTAAATCAGAATGCAGGCAAAAGGAAATCATTTAAAGGGCACCCACGGGCAGGAGGTAAGTTTGATGGAAGCTGTGTTTGAAGGAGAAAACACAGTAACTGGAAAAGGGTAGGAGGCTTTGCAGTGATTCAGACAAGAACAAACCCGGGTTAGGGAGGCCAGCGAGGGGAAGAGAGGAAGGGAAGGAGGTAGACCGCCAGGGTTTGGATGTGGAAAGTGTGTGGAGTATTTGTGGTCAGGAGTGGCAAGGGGGGAGGTGTCTTTTTACAGGGCAGGGCAGGAAGGCAGGCAGGAAGGGCAGATTGCAGGAAACCCGGACTAAGTGCTCAGAAGGTAGATGTCTATTCTGAAGAACTTTCTCACAATGAACACAGGATAAGTGTTCCCCCATTGCCGTCTCCCTGCAGCCTCTAGGATGCTCGCCCCTCCATAACTAGCGGGCGCTCTAGGTGAAGCACGGGGTGGGCACGTTTACAACAGGTACGGGGCACTTGCTGTAGCAAATCCCTTCCCCGCAGAGTCGTTGTGAGGATCATACTTGAGCCAACACGTTGCAAAGCACTTTAGAAAGCGTCCGGCACACAGTAAGTGCGATTTAAGGGCCCGTTATTATTACTCGTTCTTATTAACTGAAAATTAGACTATCGGCGCCTAGCACATTGCCTGCGTCTGCTCGCATCGACTGATTAAAACGCTCACCATCTAGTGAGGCAGATAACGCAATTTCTAACCCTGGGTTCTAAGGAAGGTTCTCCAGGGATCAGCTGCTGGGGAGGGACCACAATCGCCGCGGGGCAACTGGATCCGGTCTGGCGAGGAGGACGGAGGGCCAAGACACGGAGACTGGCAGCGGCGGAGGGCCCGGCTGCAGCAGGAGGCCGCGCCACCCGCCCGCAGGGCCGGGATCCGGGCCGCAGAGGGGCGGGCCCAGAACTGCGGAAAAAATTCCCGAAGCTGCGGCGGGGGCTTGCAAGCGCCGAAGACCATATTGGGGGCGTCTGGCTTCCAGAGCCGCCCAGCCCCGCCCCCGTCGCGCTTTGGGGCTCCGGGGGAGCTCCCTGGCCTGCGGCGGCCTTCACAGGCCCCGAACCCGCGGCCCGAGCCGCCCGCGGCCGCTGAGCCCGGCCCGCGCCCCTGCGTTGGGCCAGACCCCAGGCCAGCCCAGGGGCCCCGCCGGCGCGCCCCACGCCTGCGCGCCCCACACCCGCGCACCCCCGCGCCGCGAGTGGTGCGGCCCGCCCCGCCCCCTGACGCCACGAGGGGCGGGGCACGCCGCCACGTGACGGGGAGTGACCTCGCCGTCCGGCGCCATGGGGGCTTTGGACCCGGAAGTGGCGCCCTGGGCTCGCGGCGGGGCCGCGGGGATGGCGGGAGCCGGAGCGGGAGCGGGGGCTCGCGGCGGAGCGGCGGCGGGGGTCGAGGCCCGGGCTCGCGATCCGCCGCCCGCGCACCGCGCACATCCGCGCCACCCGCGGCCTGCGGCGCAGCCCTCGGCCCGCAGGATGGACCCCGGGTCCGGGGGCCTGGGCTCCGGGGACAACGCCCCGACTACCGAGGCTCTTTTCGTGGCGCTGGGAGCGGGCGTGACGGCGCTTAGCCACCCGCTTCTCTACGTGAAGCTGCTCATCCAGGTGGGGGGCCAGGGGCGCCGGAGGGAGGTGGGGGTGATGTGAAGGTGACAGGCCGGGATCTGGAGGAGGATGGGGGCGGGGGAGCCGATGGCGACGAACTGGGGGAGAGTGGCAGGAACTGCAGGTTTGGTGGGCCGAAGGGGTGGGAGAGGAGGGAGAGGAGGGGTGGGTGAGGGGTTTGGGGGTGCAGTGGGGACGAGTTTTGGGGTACAGGAGTGAGAGCGAGGGAGTTGGATCGACAGATTTGGGAGAAGGTAGAAGGAACAAGGGATTTTGGGGGTGCAGGAGAGGGGCAATGGGATGGGGAGACAGGTTTGGGAGATGAAGGAATGGAGGCGATTAACTTGGAATAGGAGGGAAGGGTGAGGGAAGACGCAGCAGAATTGGAGGAGGGGTGAGAAGTTTTGGCGAGTGGGTGGGGAGGAGGTTTGGGGGCCAAGGCCAAGTATTTAGAAGATGAGGAGCACATATTTAGGGTAAAGGAGAGCAAACGCTCTGCATTTGATAGAGATGAATTTAAAGTGGTTTGGAGGGACAAAAGACTGCGGGTTAGGGCCAAAAACCTAGACGAGAAGAAAGGGCATCAGACTCCCAGGGAGGAGGGTGGAGGGCGGAGGGCATTGGATTGAATGATGACGGAATTTGGTGAGAAAAGGTGAGGGCAAAGGATTTAACAACGAAGAGCTGTCGGTTTACAGGAGATGGGGGCTCTGGATTTGATGGCGACGACGGATTTGGTGGGAGGAGGGGATATGGTGACGTGTTTGGGGGGAGGGAAACATCAGGCGACGCAATGGGGGAGGGGAGTGGTGGCGATTTGTCTTGAGAGGGGAGCGAGGAAGAGACTTTTAGGGGGAAAGGGATGACGCATTTGGAGGAAAAAATGGAAGTCATCGGGGTTGGGACGTGGGAATCGCAGTCCTTGTATCTGGGGGGATGGGCTGAAGGGGTATGGGAGTATTGAAATTGGGCAGAAGGACAGTTGGAACACAACTGGATAGGTAGGGGCTGCAGAAACTGCAACCCAGGCAGGAATGGCTCTGGGGTCAAGGGGTGCATATTTGGTGGCGGCCCCGCATTGCCTTAAAGACTAAGTGGGCTGCTTGAGAAAGGGAGAGATTGAGCTGAAAGGGGTGTGGGATGGAGGAAGAGCATCCGGCAAAATTAGGTGGGTGTGTGACTGAGCTGGGCACTGTTTAGATGGGGGTGGTTCAGACCTGGACTGATACCTGAAGATTTAGCCTAGAATTTTCCAGTTAAGAAGAGTGGGAGGTGGGGGGGTAGAAGTTGAGATGGAGACCCAACCAAGATTTGAGGTTTGATTGGAGTTGAGGGGAGTGGGTGTTTGTGTCTTTATAATTGTGCTGAGAGAGAGGTGGAGATACAGTGGGAATGAGAGGGACCTGAGTGGACACGATGGAAGTCTGGGATCTGAGGAATGGGGCGGATTTTTGGGTGTGACCAGGAAAATGACAAGGAATGAGGAGATTTCAGTCAGGGACATCAGGGTGCTTGACTAGAATCTAATTGTGACCGAGATTTGGAAATGGCTGCTGAGGGAACATCGAGACTGACTTTTGGTTGTGATTTGGGAGTGAGGGCTGCTTTACTTACAGGATTAGGATTGTATTTACAGCAATACAGGTGACAGGTTTGAGTGAGAAATTAGGGCTTTGGAACTCGTAGTACCAGACATGAGAAGTAAGGATACTGGAAGCTGAGTTTTTTAGCTGATGGAGTGAAACTGGGTGAGGGCTAGGACTTTAGGGTGGCCAATAAGAGTGGAGGATGCTGGAGTACAAGGAATAGGGGGCTTCCTGTGAAGGAAATGGAAAGTGGCTTCATCGTTTGCACCACAGTAGATTTGGTTTACAAGTTTGGGGAGAAAATTGAAATAAAGGTGACTTGGAAAGGGCATTGGGCCATGCGAAAGAATTGGGAATGAGGGAATCTAAAGGGTGAGAAGAACTGGATGGTGGGTGGGTAAGGCTGGGTAGGCCCAGTTGGGGTGACAGAGGTCGCCTATCCGATTTGAACCCAGCTGGCGCTGAGTGTAACATATTTGAGGGTGAAATCGTAGTGGGTATAGCTTGAGAATCAGAGTAACATTTTGCAAAAGGGCAGATCCCCGTTTGGGGGCGGGTGGCAGGATTGGGGGTTATCTAGATTAGGTGAATGAGAACACAGTGCCTCAGATCAGGGCCTGTGCTGTTAGGTTTCAGGAGCTGGAGATGTGAGGGTGCTGGACTGGCTCTGCCAGCTTTGGCTGTGGTTAGGACTGGGGTAGTAGATGTGGAGGTGAAATTAGGTGGGTATGACTTGGGAACAAGTAATGACAATTTGAGGGTGAGGGGACCAGGGATGAGACACGGCCGGTGTGCCTTTGATAACCAAGGTAGAAGTTAAGAAAATAGACTCGAATGATTTGGGAGCTGTGGAGATACTGGGTGAAGGGACACAGCAGATTTAATGGTGGAAATGGAATTGCTGGGACGCCCAAAGTGTTGTGACTTGACTGGTAAGACAGCAGAAGAGCAGTAGCTCAGACTTGGAGTTCGGGGTATAAAGGGTAAGAACAAAATCAAATCAAAACAAAGCTTAACTCCAGACCTTCGAGCTTTCAACCCAGAAGGGGAAACCTCTAGAACGGGAGGCTACCTGCTTGAGTCAACTGGTTCATCCCTTTCCTTCAACTCCCCTGGGCTAGAGTTGTTTTTCCAGAAGGTCCCCATCACGGAGGGGGTGTTTTAATTTACAGTCAGTAATCTGTCGTGTAGTTCAGAATCACATCCACAAGAGAAAACCTGAACTTTCAAAAACACTCGGGTGACTAGGCAAAGAAAGGAAATTGAGCCGGGAAAATGCTAGAAGCGTACGTTGTCCTGTTTTTAAGCTGAGCTTCCCAACCCTGCTGTTTCTCCTCCCTTCCACATCCAAGGGGAGCTGCCCTGGTTCGTGGGCTCGGCTGGCCTGCTTTGAGGGACACAGCTGGTGTCCTGGCCCCCTGCCAAAGAAGGGGCCTTCTCACACCCCACTTAGGTGCTGGTCTCCCAGACACCTTGCCTCCTGCCTGGCCACAGAGAGTCTGTCTCCTCGTTGATTGGCAGCATAGCCAATGGCATCACCCCTTGGGAGAGACCCCACCTCCATAGGAGTGGCCTGGTGCTTCACCCACCCGTGAGTTTAAGAGATACCTTAATTATAACCAGCATCTACACAGCGAGAATTATGATAGCCCTACAGAAATGGGGGTCATTCTGTCACAGGCATATGGGGGTGACGGGAATTAGAACACAGTTGAGGGATTGTTTGAGCAGCATCTGGGAGTCGAGGTCACAGTGTGCTCTGCTGGGGAGTGAGAGGGACAGATTTGTGGGCGTGTGCAGTGGGTGCAATAAGAAATTTGAGGGTGGGGTGAAGCTTGGAATGGGTTACTCGGAGCTGGGCTGTCTGAATTTGGGGCCCAAGGTTCGGGCTTGAACGTGTTTTGGTGTTGCTACATTTGGGATTGAGACTGGACTGAAGTTTTTGACCTGGAGATAGGCAACTGAGATTTATTCTGTGTTGAGTGTGGGGTTCGAAGCACATAAAAATGGGGGGTTCTGCATTGGAAATATCTGGAATTTGAAGGTAAGAATGTTGGGGGCCTGGGGTGACTTGGATTGTGGTAGCGGTGGTATCTGGAACTAGACAATTCTGTTCATGTACACGATGCTGATGGTTGTAGACACCAGTGAAATTTCTGGTATGTTTTGATGGGAAAACATCAACAGGAGCAGCATTAGAATTTGTGGGAGGAGAGTTGGTGGCCTGGGAAGGATGAGAAGCAGTGAGACTGAGTCAACAGTAGCATCTGACCTTCCTTTTGTATTTGTTGATTCTGAAGGTGGGTCATGAGCCGATGCCCCCCACCATTGGGACCAATGTGCTGGGGAGAAAGGTCCTCTATCTGCCGAGCTTCTTCACCTACGGTGAGTGTGCTTCCCAGACAGGAAAGCCCACACCGTCAAACGGGGAGCAGGCCCAGCTGGGCACCATGGTACCCAGAGTCAGAGCTGGCGTGGAGGAGGGGATCAGAGAGTGCGGCCAGAGGCAGCAGGGTGTCGGGGTGGGAGCAGGTGAACAATACAGCTTTGGTCCAGCTCCTCTGCCTGCAGCTGCCAGCTGTCAGCCTAGGCAGCAGGAGGGGCAGACAGGTGCCTGAGAGAGGGCAGTCCAGGACGCTGGTCCCTGTCATCCCTGCTGCCCCAGGTTGGGCCTGGAAGCAGGGGTGGGGGTGGTTTTCCTTTTGCCTTCTGAGCTGTCCTGCCCTGTTACCAGCTTTTCTCTTTCCTGCTACTCTGGCAGGAGGCCCGTTGGGATCTCTTGGGTTCTTTTCCTTCGTCCTCTTTCCCCTGCATTCCCCAGGCAGTGGTGCCTACTCACTCTGGCATCTGCATCCACTGGGTATAGACCAGTTCGCAGTGAGTTGAGGCCTCGCCTCCGATGTGCCCTGACCAGCTGCACGAGCTTGGGCAGGCTGCCGAACTGCTCTGGCCCCGCGCTCCTCGTCTGCAAAGCAGCATCAGCTTCTTGGTGCCCAGGCCCTTCACACAAACACCTCCTCCCCGCCCCAGCCGCTCCACCAAGAAGCCCGCCACAGTGGGGCTTGCCTGATGCCAGCGAAGCTCACCTGGCTGCCTCTGCTGCTCATCCCCTGGCCCACAGGTGCCAGCTGGTCAAGGCCATTTCAAGTCCACCATCACTGTCCTTCTCCCCAGGCCCCGCCCTCACCGGACTTCTTTAAATGTGCCCTCGCTTTCCAAGTTCACAGCCAGGCCTATCCTCTCATGCTTCCTCCACCTTTTCTCTTCTCACCTGTTTGGTCAGTTCAGAATGTCCTCTGAAAAACTTCCTTTCTACAAAGTAACTTGAGGCTTTGCCTCCTGTCGCCTTTTTTTCACTTCACACACTGTTGGCAGAATCTCATGTCAGGTTTCTCTTCCAATTTTGCCACCATGTTGTTGAGTACAGACGAGGGGCAGCCAGAACATGTCGTTTTCTTGGGAAATCTTTCTTCTTTGTTTTTATTTAAAAATTGTCAGTGTAGGGGAGAAGGAATCACAGAATGAGGAAGACACCCCCACCGTAGTACAGTGAAGCCAGTATACAGAGTTAGCGCAGGATTTGCGGGAAGCCGGCGTGGTGGGCTGCCGGCCCCTCCCTTGTGTTTGTCCGTGGTTTCCCCTGCTCCAGCTGTGTGAGGGACTCGAGGTTAGAACCCAGCCCGTCTCTCTTCATGTCACACAGTCATTCCTGAAAGGACTCAGGGTAGAGAGGTCTTGACCCTCATCTTTGCCTCTTGCAAAGAGGAGCAGAGTTCTGAGGTGTGTTCCCCGACACCCCTGTTTATGTAAATGTTGTTTCAGCCCCAGTGTTGTAAGCAGATGCCCGTTGGGCATTTCCAGATGCTGTCCCTGCTCTCAAGTTGGGGAGGGGGCTCAGCTCAGCTGTCTGGCTGGCTGGGTGCTGTCTGGACAGCATCTACTCCCCATGTCCTGGTGAAAAGCTCCCCAGCTGTCCTGACAGTCTTTGGTGTAACGGAAAGAACTTTCTGGAGCATTTTCCAGGGACTGCAGAGAAACTGCAGCATGATGGAGCCCTTTGGGCCCACAAAGGCCTCTGAAGGCATTGCTGCACCTTTCTCTGCTCTCACTCGTTTGTAATTCTGCTCTGAGATGGCAAGAATAGGGGTCCTTTCTCTGTATTTACTGGTGGCAGATCGGCTAGAAAGAGGTTAAGTTTCTCCCTGGAGATCACGCTCCAGCTTTATCCTGCGGAGCCGCTCCCTGTTGCTGGCTGGAGCGCCCCTCCCCCAAAGCAAACCTTCCTTCTGCCTGTTCGCTCTGCTCTGTGAAGCAGGGCTCCTGGCCACATCGCCCAGCGTCCTCTCCCCTCCTGCTCCTCTCCTTCCAGCCCCACCCCCATCTCAGGAAGCCAAATATGCAGGTAACAGGTGCTCTTGGCTGTCAAAGCCCGTGCTGGCAGTGACGTTGAACTGCTGGGTCAGCAGACATGTTGCAGAGGAAGGAAGGAAGGCACATTTGCTGGTTCCTGCCACTGTGCGGTACTAGAGAGCTCAAGTCATGGGGCTGAAAAGGGGGCACATTGTCTGAGAGAATGTTCTGCTAGCTTCCAGGAATGCAAGTTTCTAAAAGTACATCACCTATTTGAACACAGTTTAAAAGGTGATAGTAAATAAAACAATAAAACATTATTAAGAAAGGTGTCCTCTTAGAGACCCTAATGCAAAACCACTGACTCACCCAGGCAGGGGCTGGCTCCCTGACTGCTGAAGTCTTTTCTATAGAATAGTTCATTGGCGCTTCTTTTTTAGTTACTTCTCCACTGACATTTCCCTCCCTGTGATTAATAAATGCCAGCAGGTGCCAGGTGGTGTTCTGGGCACAGCACAATAACAGGGTGGGGACAGCCCTCTCCCTGGCGTGCCCTGGGGACACCCTTGAGGCTCTCTTCTGGGAGCCCTTGCTTTTCCTTTTCTCCTCCCTTAGGTTACAAACTTTGTCATTGCTGTGGGCACTGTCTCTTGTTCCTTTTTTTCTTTTCCCTGAGAAAAACATTTTTTATAAGCAACACCGTTGGTTTCTGGGTTCCAGCACTTAAGTTAATGAGTTGGAAAACTATAGGTCAGTTTGCCAAGTAGATTTTTCAAAGCTAAAAAGAAAAAGGAAAAAAGAAGTGAACTTGTTTGTCAAAAATATGTTTTGAAGGTTTTACCAAAAAAACACAGGGGCTAGAGAAGACCTTTGGGCATGGGGTCCTGGGCAGATGCCCCTTTCTGTGACTAAAGTCAGCATGTACAGATCTTCTTCGACTTACACTGGGGTTACGTCAGGATAAACCCATCGTAAGTTGAAAAAATGAGTCGAAAATGCAGCTAGCCAGCAAACATCATAGCTTAGCCTGGTCTGCATGAAACGTGCTTAGAACACTTACATTAGTGTGCGGTTGGGCAAAATCAACCAGCACAAAGCCTATTTTATAATAAAGTTTTACGTGTCTCATGTAATTTATTGAATACTGTGCTGAAAGTGAAAAAGAGAATGGTTGTCTGGGTCCAGAATGGTTGTGAGTATACCGATGGTTCACCGTGTGGCTGACAGGGCGTTGCGGCTTGCTGCCGCTGCCCAGCATCACAAGAGTATAGTGCTGCATGTTGCTAGCACGAAAAGATCAAAATTCGAAGTGCAGTTTCTACTGAATGCATATTGCTGTTGCATCATCATAAAGTCAAAATATTGTAAGTCGAACCATTGTAAATTGGGGATCATCTGTATTGAGGGACAGGGTGTGTCTGGTCTGGGTGTGAATGTGACCCAGGAGTGGGTGTGTCTGGACTGGGTGTGACGCTGCCGCCTCTGCTTTCTTATAGCAAAGTACATCGTGCAAGTGGATGGGAAGATAGGGCTGTTCCGAGGCCTGAGCCCCCGGCTGATGTCCAACGCCCTCTCCACTGTGACCCGGGGCAGCATGAAGAAGGTGAGCCTGGGGCGAAGCCAGGAGCGGTTGCCTCAGGTTCCCCCAAGCTCCCTGCTACCCCCAGAGGCTGCCGTGTGCCCTGGGCCTGCTTCTCTGTTCCCAGACTGGTCAGGGTTCCCCCCCAGCACCAAAGCCGGGCTCCAAAGCCTGGTGGTCTAACACTGAGTCTCCTTAATGGGAGGGCTCCTGCCCCATAGTGCTCCTGCTTTCCCACAACTGTCACAACAGACGGGCTTTTTTTCCCCAAGCTCCAGCCCTGGGGGTTACCTGAGACGGGCCCAGCTAATGGACACTGCAGAGAAAATAGCAGGAGCTGGTTCCTGCCATCTCTGCCCTTGAGAGTTACATTTAAGAGACACAGCTGTAGGGGCTTTTGGCCCTCCTTTGTTTTTTGTATCTCAGGTTTTCCCTCCAGATGAGATCGAGCAGGTTTCCAACAAGGATGATATGAAGACGTCTCTGAAGAAAGTGGTGAAGGAGGTGGGTATCTGAAATCAGAGAAGGAGAGGCCCTCAGAGGGGACTCTGATCACTTCTCACCCTGGAGTTGGCCAGGTCATTGAGAGTCACAGAGCTGGGTCCTCGTGTGTGCGTGGATGGAGTGGGACATGGAAGGAGCCCCAGGGTGGACACTGCAGAGAATCCCAGAAAGCCTGTCAGCCGCTGTGGGGCATGGCCCTGGACCCAGCGGCACTCCTGGGTGGTGGGGATTGGGGGTGGGCGACAAGTGGTGCTGTCCGAGGTTGACTGACCCTACGTGGGGCTGCGGGATTCCAGTTTTTCCCCCATAAGAGCTCGTGGCTCCCCATGAGTGCCAGTTGCAGAGACAGACCGGACTGAGTCCCTGCCCTCTGCTCTCTTCCAGACCTCCTACGAGATGATGATGCAGTGCGTGTCCCGCATGCTGGCGCACCCCCTGCATGGTGAGCTGTCCCATTGGAGACTGTATCACTGCTGTGGGATGACCCCCCCGGACTGAAGATGGGGAGCCGTAGAATTACTGGGGAGTGAGGGTGGGTGGGGGTATTCCATTGGGACCCCAAAGAGGGGAGGTTGGCTGGGGTCCTGTGCACAGGGAGCTGGGCTCTTCCCAGGCAGAGGAAATGGGATGCCGTGGTCAGGGGGTACGACGGGGCTTCTCAGAGGCCCTCCTCCCCTCCTGCGCTCTTACACAGGCCATGTTGTGCAGTGGCCGCTCTACACCGGGCACTCCACGGCTGGGTTGACGTGGGCTTTGGCCCACCATGTCACTTGTGTGTGTTTTCTTTTTCCTCAGTCATCTCAATGCGCTGCATGGTCCAGTTTGTGGGACGGGAGGCCAAGTACAGGTGGGTAATTCTTGGGACTGGCAGGAGTGGCCATGTTACCATTCAGTGTCTGCCAGGACAGGCCAGGCCATGCTGGGTCAGTCGCTGCCCCTTCTCTGCCCCAGTTCTAATACGCTGGCCTTAGAGCAACGTGGTATTGGCTCTGTAGTCTGTGTCCAGGGGCATTTTTCTTTTCTCCGTCTCTTTTCTGGCGCTGCCCTGACGAGCTGTGCAGAGAGGGTGAGTGGGGTTGGAGTGACCTCGGATTAGGAGTTGTGGCACCAGAGCTGATTCCACCACCTAGAACTGACCTGGAGTTCCCTCCTGGAGCCCTAGGTTATGCTGTAATGATTTCTCCAGCCATCACAGAACCCAGCTTCTAGCTCATTTCATCCTCTGCTCAGAGGCTCTTTGCCCTGTGAGCTTGAGGCTTGTCCCCTCAGGTGTTTGCCAGATACTTCCCTGGCCTCTGCTGTGCCTGGCACTGAGCCGGCTGCTGTGGGGGCATGGGTGTGTTGACACAGCCCCTCCCCATGGCGGGTAGGCCCTCCCTGCCCCTCTGAGGCTCAGGGCAGCACAGGAGGCGGATCCTGGAGGCATGTGGCAGGAAGACATGCCTCAGTTACCCTTCTTCCCTTAAGATTCTCGTTTCCTGGGTTCAGATGTTTTCTGTAGCTGTCCTGTGGGACCACTGCCCCAGGAGGCTTTGCTCTCATGTGCCTCATTTGGGGTTCACTACTGGGAAATTGGTCCGTTCTCCCAGACTGAAATGTGGGGTGGTGGATGGGACAGGAGGGGATGGTCTGGTTCAGAGCCCCAGTGGGCCGGGCCACTGTTCTGAGAAGAAGGGTGGTGGAGCCTGGCAGGGCTGGGTTGCCCCAGGAATAGCGCTCGCCAGGACTTTGGCTCCCACTGTCTTTCTCCTCGGCTGGCCCCTGTCACCTCAGCTTTGCAGAGCCTCCATGCGGCACAGGCCACTTGGCGTTGCTAGCCACAGGTCTCAGAGATTGCTCTTGAGCTTGCCTCACTTTTCACACCAAGGACGCCACAGCCTGTCCTCTGGTCTCTGATGGGCTGCAGTGGCCAGGGCACAAGTCCCCAGCTCCCTGCTGGGGAGGGCCAGATGCCTTTTCCTAGGCTGTATCTGGGTGGGCTGGTCCAAGGGCCACTTGTTGCAGGGCCCTGTGTTTCTTCTCTGCTTCTGGGAAGGTGATTCTTTCCACTCGCCACCCCTCCTGCTCTTACTCTGTGGGGCACACAGGCTTCTCTGCCAGAAGGTGGTTCGGCTGGAGATAAGCACTCGGGCCAGGCAGGCAGAAGGGCCTGTCTCCTCTGTAGCAGCCCAGGCTGGAAGGTTCACTCCTGAATTCCAGGTCCATGGAAAACGGCAGTAGAGAACTGCTAGACTTCTGCCCCTGTGGGTTGTTGGATTTCCCCAGTCTCCATGGACTGTGTAAATGTTCCCTCACCCCCAAACTAGAGCTCTCGAATATTCCCCACTTGGGTTCTGGCTGGTAACGGAGGCTTCCCTCCCCACCCCAGCCAGGGCTGGATGGCTCTGAGCAGGGGTGGTGGGCTTTGCTCCGCACCAGGGGGTGGGCTCCTGGAAGGTGACTGAGTGACTCTGTATTCCTGTCTTACTTTCTTCACAGCGGCGTGCTGAGTTCCATTGGGAAGATTTTCAAAGAGGAGGGGCTGCTGGGATTCTTTGTGTACGTGAGTTTATACGCCCCATTCCTGGCCATGGGCATGGCTCTACTAACAGGCTCATTCTCAACCTCTCAGGCCGCAGCTGCTGGCCTCAGACTAACCACAGGGCTCTGCCCCAGCCCGAGTAGCTGCGCTCATCTCCTGAGAGCGCCATAGCACGTGCGAGCTACGGATCACCCGGACTGAAGCTGCCCAGCCCCTTGCAGATCACGGCTCACACAAAAAGGGTACTGTTCATCAAAAATGCAGGGGAGGTGGGCTGACTGGCCTCCCCAGGCCCGTCTGTTTGCCCTGGGCTGGGGGTGGGCATGGGGCTGGTCTTCACGAGCCGGGGCACTCCGTGGTTCACAGTTTCACTGCTGAAAAATGACTGGAAATCTGTGACTTGGATTGAGCGTTGAGCACTGGCAGCTCATGGGCTGACTGCAGCCAATGGACTCTTTGACAGAGCGTTTCTGACAAATTACATCTTCACATTTTACGTTTAGGATATTTCATACAATGATCAGTATTTCTGGCATCTCTTGAAAAGTCAGAAAACCTAGCCCTCCTGGTCGTGTGTTTCTGCAGAGCAGTGTCAGCAGGGCACATGGTCTCCGGGGGGCCACGGACCCTGCCCTCCTTGGTGTCTCACACCCACCTTCCTTCACCTTTGAGGAAAGCTCATGCCGAGAAAACTAACCCACAAATGGAACCCAAGAGCTGGGCCTGACAAGTGTGTCCTTTGTTTTGCCTTTTTAAGGTCTGTGCAGTGACATACATGCCGGTATGTACACAGTATACCAGATCTGGGGCCGTTTATTAACTCACATTGTGATTTTATAGTTGGCCAGGTGTTTTTGTTTATGATCTCTCATTTAGCCAAAAAACAACTATGTATAGGGGTGTGTGTGTGTATGGTTCTCATCAGGAGGTGATTTTGCCCCCAGGGGACACTGGCAATGTCTGGAGACATGTTTTGGTTGTCACAACTGGCATCTAGTGGGTAGAGGCCAGGGGTGCTGCTAAACACCTTGCAATGCAGAGGACAGCTTCCACAGCAAGGAATTATTCATCCCTAAGTGTCGACAGTGCCAATATTGACAATCTTGGTTTATACAGACACACATATTCTCATATGTCTATATGTATAAAAATACATGTGAATACCCCTGGCCAAGTGGTTAAGTTCACGCGCTGTGCTTTGGGGGCTCAGGATTTCGCTGGTTCGGATCCTGGGCACCGACATGGCACCGCTCATCAGCCCACGCTGAGGCGGCGTCCCGCATGCCTCAACTAGGACTCACAACTGAAATATACAACTATGAACTGGGGGTATTTGGGGAGAAAAAGCAGGAAAAAAAAAAAGATTGGCAACAGTTGTTATCTCAGGTGCCAATCTTTAAAAAAAAAAATATATATATATACATATATATGTGTGAATAAACACTTCCTCATGTGACTGTGGCATCAGACCTTAAAACACTACACGTCACCACCCCGGGCATATTTCACATGCCTTATATAGTTCTGTTCTGGGGTGTGATTAGGATTCCCACATGGTAGACGCTTACCCATTGGGTTCTTTTTTCCCTCACATGATTTTGGAACAGGTGATACATGTTATGGTACTCGGAAAGCACCCAAGGGTGTACATGGAAAGTCAGTCTGCGCACAGGCAGAGGCAACGGGATTGGAAGTTGCACTCACGAAGGTTCATTTTATTAATATGCCTCATAACATAGGCATATTAATAAAATTGCATATATTCTTTTGAACTTTTCAAATATTTTGCAGTAAGATTTTTTAAAATTCAGAAGTCATAATTCTGCTTCCTCTCTCAAGACATAGTCATTTTTCCCTTGGAGATCTTCCCAAGTCATTCCTTATCTAAATAGGCATATAAACACATTTAAAAAAAGTACTAGTAGCACGTAGGACCCACTGATCTCAGTCTGGCTTTTTGCCCTCAGCACTGTGTCTTGGGGAACCTTCATGTCAGCTTGTAGAGCTGTTGATCCTAAAGGCTGTCACTTTAATAAAAGCCCTCTTTGCGAAAGCTTGCATGGAATGTCTTCAGGGGAACATTCCAGGGGTGAAGACGACAGATGCATTGAGCAAAGTGTTTTGTGAGAGTTGAGTAGGTAAAGAGACCAGGAGAAATCTACCAACATGTAGGCACTCTTTCATAATCTGCATTTGAAAAATCCAGATTTAGCAACATTTACATCTTGAGGCCCAGCTTCTGTGGTTGGAGAACCACTTGTGAGACCATCAACTAGTTTGTGGCATCAGATGTGGCATATCACACCCTCCGTGGAGAAAGGAACACCAGCTTCCTGGTGTGGATGGCTGCTGGCCCACGCCGCCCCTGCAGACCTCCTTCCTGAGGTGGTGCCGTTGGATATGCTGAAGTTTTGAGCATCCTGCCTGCTTCCTGGGTGTGGAGCCCCAGGAAATGTTCCCCTCCCTCCCCTGCTCATCTTTGCTCACCTTGTCTTTTAGCGGCTTAATTCCTCACCTCCTGGGAGATGTGGTTTTCTTGTGGGGCTGTAACCTGCTGGCCCACTTCATCAATGCCTACCTGGTGGATGACAGCGTGAGTGACACCCCAGGGGGGCTGGGAAACGACCAGAATCCAGGTTCCCAGGTTGGTTGGAACAAGGACTTGTCCATCTTTCCATGTACTGCTGATGCCCAGGGTCTGGGGCAGACTCGAGGACTCTGGGATTCTGAGTACCAGGCCCTGAGGACTAGAGAGGACCTCTCGGGAGTGGTCTGAGCAGAGGCCCTCTGGTTGTCCGTGGGTCATCTTTGACTCCAGGCAGAATGGCCTCGAGAGATGAGATTGGAGATCAGTAACCAGACTTGGAGGAGTTCATGGAATGCCCATCTCTGGGCAGCTTTAGGAATAAAACAGACCCCAGCTTCTCTAAGGCTGGTTTGAGTCAGTGACCCAAGGAGGACTCAGGAAATCAGGAGATAGACCAGCTAATAATAACCCTTTAATTTTTGCTTAATGTTTTATGCTTTCAAAAACCCTTTTGTGAACATTATAACATTTCATTCTGACAGCACCCCAGTTGTTAAGGGAACAGGGTGCATATAATGTCCCCTTTTACGGATAGAGAAACTGAGACCCAGAGGTTGAAGGGCTCTCCAGAGGCATTCAGCTGGGCACTGACGGGGCTGGGCCTGGGCCTTCCCTGTGCCGGGCTGAGGGTGCCTGCCGCCTTGAAGTTTTTCACATCAGCTAGGAAGTGTGCGGTGCAGGCGCAGCCCAGTGTTTGGTTAGCAGTGGTCTACACAGCCTGCTGTGCACAGACCTCTCAGCTGGTTGGCTCAGGTGTGGGAGGGCCTTGGTCCTTTGAAAAGGCGCTTGTTGAAGAAAAGTGTCCAGGGACCTGATGACTGACTGGTTCTGCCTGAACCCAGAAAGAGTTGGGGAACAGTGACGGGTGGGAGATTCCTGGCAGCCAGACATTCTGCCAGCGGGGATTGCCAACCCCAGGAGGATAGGCAGGGGACATGTCTGCCAGAACCACTTGGGGGGAGTTTGGGTTCGTGTTCTGTGTCTGTGTCTGTGTCTGGGCCCCAGAATGCCGTTGGCGGGGGGTGGGGGGGGACAGGGCGGCGAGGTGTGGGCATGGTCTGTGCGGCCTGGAGTGCCCGCCCCAGCTGAGCCTCTGCCCGAGGTGGGTTGCGTCTGCCGTGTGGCTTGGCTGGGTGAGTCTCATGGGCCTTTCAGTGTAAGCACATTCAAGTGCTCCATAGAGACCAGCGCCCACCTACAGTGACAGGAGCACGTGCTGTGGCCCTGCCCTTTCTCAGGGGCCTTATGGGTGGGTGAGCTGCTGCTGTCACATACAGAGCAAGGCCGGGACAGCTGGGGCATCCGGGCAGGGGGAGGGGTGTCCCACAGCTGCCTGGCTTCCTCCAGTCTAGGTGGGCAGGTGTTCGACCAGGGGCTGCTGCCTCAGGTCACCACAACGCAGTCAGCAGCTTCAGGAAAAGGATTGTTCAAGTGCTTTTCTGATGTGGTGTAACCGCTAACATGAGGCTGCAGCTCAGGCACAGGGCTGAGCAACACCCCCCACCACACCCCCAGGTTGCAGGCATCCATCTGGTGGGATGGCCACACCACAGGAAGCTGAAGGGTAGGTAGTCACCCTTCCTTGTTAGGAGCTGCTTCCTGGGCAAAGCAGAATTCAGAAGTTGGGCGCCTGAAGGTGAGAGCTTGGTGAGGTGGGGGGGGTGGCTGTAAGCCCAGAGTTTCCCCTCGCCTTCTGCTGCAGGTCCAGGATTGTGTGGGTAGTTTGGGTGGGTAGCTGTCTTTTCATTCAGTAAGCACTTACTGAGCACCGACTGTCGGCAAAGCCCTGGACATTGATCAAGGCAGACACAGGCCGAGCCCTTGAAGCTCGCAGCTCGGGGTTATGCAGGCCAGCAGCCAGTAATCCCAGTTATCTGGCCTTCACTTCTCCTCACCGTCCCCAGCTGGGTCACAGAAGTCCCTTCAGTCTGGTTATCCCACTTCTGCCTCCCAGATCTTCTCTTGGCTCTGACCACAAGGCCACGGAAGCCGCTGGCAGGCCCTGCAAGGGATGCAGTGTGTGCAGCGGGTGTGTGAGGCCAGTGTGGAGGGCAGGGCAAAGGGGGCCCAGATGAAGCAGCATGGGACGAGGGCCCACGTATCTGAAGCCTGCGTCCTGAGGTGCCTGTGGCAAACCTGTCTTCCTTTCTGTCTCTTCAGTTCAGCCAGGCCCTGGCCATCCGGAGCTACACCAAGTTTGTGATGGGGGTAAGTTGAGTCAGCTGCCCTTCCCACTGCCCTCTGGGCCTGGGTGGGGCTTAGGAGGCCAGCACTGGAGGGCTGGCAGCATCCTCAGTTTCAGGGGTTGGCACAGTGTGGCCCTGCTCCCTGAGCCTGGGCGGCACTGGTGGAGGGTGGGTCACGGACACTCTGCTCTCTCGGGTTTCAGATCGCAGTGAGCATGCTAACCTACCCCTTCCTGCTGGTCGGTGATCTCATGGCTGTGAACAACTGTGGGTAGGTGTGGGCCCCTCCACCTGGCACTCGGCCCCCTCCTTCCTGGTCTGTGTAGGGGCTCAGCCCACCAGGCATCCTGGCTTCCTCTAGGATTCACCATGCCCCTTTGGGCTGAATCTCTGGTTCCGGATGTGGGTGGTGGCAGCTCCAAGCCATTCCTTCTGGAAGTTTCCTTTTTCTTGGCTGATCCATCTCCCACTGTTCTCTGTCTAACATGCTCTCCTTCCTGGGCAGGCTGCAGGCCGGGCTCCCCCCTTACTCCCCAGTGTTCAAATCCTGGATCCACTGCTGGAAGTACCTGAGTGTGCAGGTAAGCAGGCTCCCAAGGGAGATTTTTCCCATGCTTCTGCCCCGTGATCAGATGAAATGGTTTTGTGGCCTCTTCATTGCATGGAAAGGTAAGGTTGTCATGGAATCCAGTCTTGTGAGTAGGGAGGATAAAACAAATGTAGATTCTTGGTTTAAGGCATTTAAATTAAATTTTCACTTTATTTTAGAAAGGATTTGAAGTAGTTAGATCTGAATTTACAAACAAAGTATACATCAGACGAGGTCTCCTTTTCTTCTTCGCCTCTTAAAGACTCTTAAAATGAGTAGAAGGAGCCCACGGGGTGGGTGGTGAAGCTGGAGAGCTCCTTATCCCTGGAGCAGCCCGGGCTGCAAACACAAGGACTAAGAGCGGTTCCTGACACGCAGCTGGCGAGTGGAGACCGCCGGCTCCCTCGTGCAGGATGTCCCCGGGGCTCAGGCCAGCCTGAGGGTTGAGCTGGGCCATGTGGTGAGCCTGGCGAAGGGGCCACTTGGGGGTTTTGTGTCTGTGCCCAAGCACCCTCCCACTGGCTGGAGCTCTTGGGCCCAGAGGTCAAGGATCCAAGTTTCTGGCCCAGGGCACATCCTCGCCTTTTCCTGGCCTTGGTTTGCCTCAAAGTAAAATGGTGCAGTGGCTTGGGGAGGAGCGAGCGCACAGACTAGCCTCAAGGTTGAGAAGAGGACAGATGAGAGGGAAGCAGGGAAGCCAGAGATGGACACAGTTCTTGCCAGCGACTCTGGTCAGTTCTGCGTGTGTCACATGCCCTGGGCATTGGAGGAGTCCCGACCACTTGGGCTCTGAAGCGAGAATGGCACCGAGTCTCGTCTTGGGGCATCTCCCTCTGAGTAGCCCCATCGACACCAAACACCCTGTAGCCTGAAGTGAACCGCTCCCTTGCGCTTCAGCACAAGGCACCTTCTGACCTTGGCCTCCGGGAAAGCAGGCCTAGCCCTCCACCCCCACCCCGGGGGTCTCAGAGCTGCTGGACCCATCTTTGCCTACGCTGGCTTTGCTCTGGGGCAGGGTGAGAAGCATGCCCTCCCCTTTCATTGACCTGTCTGTTCTTCCAATCCAGGGCCAGCTCTTCCGCGGCTCCAGCCTGCTTTTCCGCCGGGTGTCATCAGGATCATGCTTTGCCCTGGAGTAACATGAATCACCTAAAACCCCGCTGTCTCGGCCTGGGCGCTGTGGAGGAGGCCTGAGCATCTTGAGGCACCTGTTACGACTCCAACCCAGCAACACCTAGATGTGCTCCAGCCCAGCTGGGCTTTGGTTTCCATATTTGCCATGTGTCTGTCCGGAAGTGGGGGTTAGGTGGGGGTGAGGCTGCGCCCAGTGGATTGGTCACCTGCTAGACCTGCGGGAGGTGGGCAGGGCTATGGAATTGGGGCAGAATCCCCTTACTAAGCAGATTTGCTGAATCCGCTTTGTATCAGGGGCCAGAGAACGACTTGTGGAGGCCTAGGTTGGATGGGAAAGGCTCACGGGGTCAGGTCCCACCCCCTGCTCACACCCAAGTGGGCCCAGCTCTCCTGCAGCTCAGCTGGGAGCACTGCCCTCCTGCTTTGTACATAGGGCGTGATCCCCTTTCACCAGGCCACCACCATGTCCAGGCCTGTGCCAGGAAGCCATTGCTCAGTTCTACCTTTGTTTTTCTCAACACTACCTTTCTGATACGAAGGCAGCACCTTCGGAATGTGAAATCATGTACTGCTCAGAATGTGTCCCTCTCATCAAGTGCTCATTGGTTTAATGGTGACGCCTCCTGTGCAGGATCTGGTCACCTGTGCATTTGTGAACACCCAGGAATTAGGCAGATCACCGTCTCTTGTCTACCCAGTTTAACAATTTGTGATAAGATTTGACCGTTTCTCCCTCAAATAAATGTATTGGTGGTGATTTGGAGTTTTGTGGGGAGTCTCTCATTTTTATGAGCTTAAAAACCATGTGCAAAGTCTTTCTCAGTCCTTTGTGTTTGTGGGAAGGAGCTGTAAAGCGACAGGGCTGGGGCAGCCTGGCCTGGAGATGAGCAGTGCCGGGCTTGCTGCAGGTCAGCCTCGGGGAGACGCTGGACAATTTTCTGAATTAGACAAGGCCCAGACGCCTGTTCACAGAGCACCCGCTCATGCACAGGCCTCAGGCCTGTTACCAGGGAGACGTCCCTTGAAGGGCCCTCCCAGCTTCAGAAAATGTTCCACCCAAACCCCTAACTGTCATCTCAGCACTGTTTGTGGATGACATTCTCAGGTTTTACTGAGAGTCGGTGTAGAGGTCACATGGTTACAGCAGAAGGGGGAGACATGGGCCCAGCTGAAGCACCAAGGCCCCCTGCCTTCTCTGGAAAAGGCGGACCTCCCTTCCATTCGTTTCTGCCCAACCCCAGGGTCTGTAAACAGACAAAACTTAACAAATGGACCATGCTGGCCCTTGGAGACTGGGCTTGTATCTGGTAGGGTTTGGACACCAGTTGAGGTCCAGCTGAGCTCTTGAATGTTTCTCTGCCCTTGCTTTAGGGGAGCTGGCTTCTGAGAGTTGGGGTCTGGTAACTTTGGTCATCCTCACAGGTCTGGGCCAGGTCTCCCAGGGAAGGCCCCTGCGGTGCTTTTGCAGAACTGGTTTTCCCCAGTGGCCTAGTAACAGTTGACTCAGGGGCAGTTTACATTATGGATCCTTGTTCCCCAAGAACGCAGAATGTGTGAGTGGGTGTCCTGTAAACGTACGCTGGTTGAAGCTGCTAAGGTCTCGTTCTCACTGCAGACAGCTCAAGTGGCAGGGAAGGCGAGCAGGTGGCAAGGTGAGCGGGCCAGGCCTTGCGGCACCATTTCTTCAGAGAAGGAAGGCCCTTGGGCGGCGTGCCTGCCTCATGGCACATTTCCTTTCTCCAGCCCTGCATTGTTCCCACCGTGCTGCCCACTGTCCTGGGGTAACTTTTCTTCCCATTGCTCCACGCTCAGATCCTTTTTGCACTGATTACTTCCTGTGGTCCCCCAAAGTTGGGGGCACTTGCATCTCAGGAGCCTGAGCTGACCTGGCCACGAGGAGCCCTTTCGTCTGACCCACCTCCTCCCACAGGTTTGGAGAGGCTGCCTGGGGGTAAAGAGCGGGCCATGGGGGGCTTGGCGAGTCACCTCGAGGAGAGCCAGTGCTGCTCCCAAGTAATACCTTGGGATTTCTGAATTGGGGTCTTGACTACGTTTCCCAGGCTATCTTCCACACCCAGAAACGGCGAGAAAACCCCTTTGATACTTTCAGTTCTTAGTTGAGCGAACTACAGGTTTTACTCCTAACAGTTTTCAGGTCAGTATTCAGATGCATGTATTGTGTATGTTCAATGCTCCCATTGTTTCCCAGACCCTTCAGTCTTTGAGGGCTGAGGCCTCACTGCCCCCGAGCACCTGGCATGTTCCCCATCAGTCCTGGAAACTGGAATGTTGAGGTCCTTATGTGAGAAAGAAGAGGGCGGGGTTGGGGCAGGAGGGGAGCTGAGCTGCCAGCAGAAGGAGGGGTGACGAGAGTGGGAATGTCCTTTTGGGGACCAATCATCTTCCTCCCCTCCTGGAAAGCCATTGTGATGGACAAAGCTGGAATGTCCCCAGGCAGGCCTTTTGAGAGTCCCTGTGATGAAGCCTGAGGTGGCAGTGGTGGCCTGTGCTGGCCCCTACAGTAGTCCTTGTTCCGGTGCCAGTCTCCATATGCCTGGGAGCCATGCAGCATAATGCTGGAGCACTCCTCTCCCCACTCAGGTCCTCAAGGCCTCAGAGTGCCAGCCCCCCTGCCCTGTTTGAACATGCCCTCCCATCCTCGTGGGCTCGTGCTGACACATCCCCTCCCTGCCCATTTGTCACAGCCCTGCCTGACTAGTTTGGGACATCATGTCTTGCCTTCTGTTGTTTCCACCAAAATAAACTTCCAAAGAGATCTCTGCTCCTCGTCTTGGGTAAGTTCTCTCATGTGACAGTGTTCCTGAGGGCTGGCGACAGGTGCTCTTGCTTTGCAGGAGGCAGGCGGAGCCCACCCAAAACTAGGAAAAATGGGTTTGGACCTCCATGGTCCTGCTCTGCCCGGAGGCTACCTCACCTGACCCTCATAGGACCTGGGGCTAACCTGAGAAAACAGGCCCAAGAAGGAGGGGACCCCCCCCCCGCCCCCACGCAGAAACACAAGTTAGATGAGCATCTGAAAATCAATGTAATACACTCTATCCCCAGAATAAGGAACAAAACCATATGATTATCTCAATAGACTTGGAAAAGTTATTTGACAAAATTCAATATCCCTTCATGAAAAAACATCAAAAGCCTAAGAATAGAAGAGAACTTCCTTAACCTGATAAATGGCATCTGTGAAAAATCCATAATTAACATTATACTGAATGGTGAAAAACTACTACCGTTTTCCCTCTAAGATCAGGAAGAAGATAAGGAGTTCTGCTCTTGCCACTACTCAACATTGTACTGGAGGGTCTAGCCAGGGCAATTAGGCAAGAAAATGAAATAAAAGTTATGTGTTGGAAAGGAAGAAGTAAAATTGTCTGTGCAGATGACATGATCTTGTAAAGAGAAAATCCTAAGGAATCCACTAAAAATACTGTTATAACTAATAAATGAATTCAGTAAGGTTGCATGATAAAAAAATTGATATATAAAAATTGTATTTCTATACATTTGCAGTGGAACAAGGTAAAATGAAATTAATGAAACAATTTCATTTACAGTAGCATCAAAAATAATAAAATACTTATGAACTTAACAAAAGAATTGCAAAACTTATACTTTGAAAATCATAAAATGTTGTTGAAAGAAGGCAAAGAAGACCTAAATAAATAGAAAGACATCCCATGTTCATGGATTGGAAGACTTAACATTGTTAGGATGGCAGATTACATAATCCCTGTCAAAAATCTCAGGGGACTTCTTTGCAGAAATTTGGCAAGCTGATCCTAAAATTCATATGGAAATTCAAGGGATCCAGAATAGCCTAAACAATCCTGAAAAAGAAGAGCACCGTTGGAGGACTCATGCTTCCCAATTCCAAAACTTACTGCAAAGCTACAGTAATCAAGACAGTGTGGTACTGGCATAAAGATAAACACATAGATCAATAGAATAGGATTGAGAGTCCAGAAACAGTCACATTTATGGTCAACTGATTTTCAACAAGGGTAATGACAACTAAATGGAGGAAGAATCATCTTCAACAGAAGGTGCTGGGGCAACTGGATATTCACGTGTTTAGGACGAAGTTGGACTCCCACCTCACATCACATACAAAAATTAAAAATGGATCAAAGACTTACAAGAATTAAAACTAGAAAACTCTTAGAAGAAAACATAACCATAAATTTTTATGACCTTGGATTAAGCAATGGTTTCTTGGATATAACACCGAAAGCATAAGCAACAACAACAAAAAAGATAAATTGGATGTCATCAGAATTAAAAACTGTTGTGTTCAAAGGATATCATCAAGAAAAATTGAAAACGCAATCCACAGAATGAGAGAAAATGTTTGCAAATCACATATCTGATAAGGGACTTGTAGCTAGAATATATAAAGAATTCCTACAACTCCATAATAAAAAGACGAATGCCCCAATAGGAAAATGGGCAAATGACTTGAAGCGATGTTTGTCCAAAAAAGACATACAAGTGGCCAATAAGCACATGGAACGATGCTTGACATCATTAGTCATCAAGCAAATGAAAATCCAAACCCCAATGAGATACTATTTCACACTCACTAGGACAGCTATAATAAAAAAGACAGATCATAACAATGTTGGTGAGGATGTGGAGAAACTGAAACCCTTGTATGTTGCTGATGCAAATGTAAAATGGTGCAGCCACTTTGGAAAGTAGTGTGGCAGTTCCTAAAAAAAGTTAAACGTAGAGTTACACATGATCCAGAGTTACCATACAATGCCACTCCTAGGGATATACCCAAGAGAAATGAAAACATATGTCCACACAAAAACTTACATGAATGTGTATAGCAGCATCATTCATAATAGCCAGTAAGTGGAAACAACCCAAAAGTCCAGCAGTTGATGAATGGATAAATAAATGTGTTCCGTACAAAGGGATATTACTTGTAATGAAGAGGAATGAAGAACTGCCCCATGCTACAACATGGATGAACCTTGGGAATATTACGCTAAGTGAAAGAAGCCAGTCACGAAAAGGTCACATATTGTATGATTCCATTTATATAAAATGTCAGAATAGACAAATCCATAGAGACAATAAATAGAGGTTGCTTAGGGCTGGGGGTGGGTGGTGGAGCGAAAAATGAGGAGTGACTGCTAATGGGTGTGGGGTTTCTTTTTGGGGTGATGAAAATGTTCTAAAATTGTGTTGATGGTTGCACAACCCTGTGAATATACTAAAAACCGTTGAGCGATACACTTTAAATGGGTGAATTTTTTGTTATATGAGCCATATCTTAATAGAGATATGTTATATCACATATATATATGGTCGGCGTACAGCCCTGGCCTGACTTGAATGCTTCCTGTTTAACTGCACCTTCCGGCTTTGGTCTGGAGACAGTCGCTCTGTCCCTCCCTACCAGGCCCGGCTCAGTCCCAAGCTGCCCTCGGTCACCAACTCTTGCTACACTCCCCCATACACACTTGTGCTTTCCCTCCCCACAGCGCTCTGGACAATCCTGCCATGCTCCCCTGGGTGAGGGTCTGGGACTCCCAAACCCTTTCTCAGACTCCTCCATGCAGAGAGGGTTGGCAAAGCCATGCTTGAGGTGCATTCCTGACCTTGCATCCCCAGACGGGCCTGCGCAGCAGCCCCACTGTGAAGAGGTCATATGCCACTCTTCGATCCTGGGTCCTGAACCCAGCTCAGCTCCACTGGTGACTCCTGGAATAGGAGAGTCAGCCCACTGCCCTTGGCCTGCCCTTGGCCTTTTCCCCTTCCTGCCAGCTACCTGAAGTTGGATGAGTGGGTGGGAGTTACAGGAAGGAAAGGAAGGATGCCCCAAAGAACTAAATGGAGTGTTTGGGGGAGGAGAGTGTACAGGAGAAGGAACAGTGCCACAGACTGGTGGGGAAGCATGGAACGTCTTCTGGTTTGGCCCCCGCCCCTCACAAGCACAGAGACTCAGGAACTCGAGCACAGGCTTTATTCAGGAGTCAGGGGCTGCTTCCCTTCCCTGGCCCCTGCCTGCCCCACCCAGAGAACTCTGCTCGGGTGAGGCTAGTCCCCTTACACCGCCCCCCAAGTTACACAGGCAAGTAGGGGAGGAAGGCACTCAGGGAGAACCCCTACCCTGCACAGGCAGGCAGCCCTCGGCCAGGCAGGCAGGGCTCTCCCCAGAACCCCCACCCACCCGCCCCGGACTGAGAGAGGAGAGGCAGGAGGAGTCCAGGCCAGGTGTGCAGTCGTCGGGCAGCAACCTGAGCTCGCAGCCGGCCAGGCCTCATGCCCCAAGATGTCTGTGGGTGAGTCACATGCCCTGCAGCCTCCAGAGGGCCTTCAGCCAAGATGTGTCTTGTTTGGGGGGCTGGGGACAGGGTGAGAGAGATGGCAGGAGGACAGCTGACCTCTTCACCCTGGGAAAGCAGGAGGCACTCCTGGGAACAGCCCAGGACTCAGATGGCTCCAGGAAGAGGCCAGGGGACTGGAGGGGCCAAGGGGCTCCTGGGACATCCTGAGATCTTCTGTCCCTAGAAGAGCAGGCCATGGCCGCAGGACAACTGGAGAACGGGCACTTGAGGCCACAGGAACACCACTCAGAGCAATGTGCAGCTAGCTGAGGAGCGGACTCCCTGGAGGCAGAGGCACTCCTGGGGCACTGCCAGGGTGTGGCCCTGTAGAGGCCTCCTCAGGGCACAAGCACACTGGCCTCGAGTCCGGCCAGAAGGTGGGGTGAAGGGGGGCTGCTGGGCCACAGAGCAGGACCTGCCCAGTAAGCTGTGGCCTCTTACTCAGAGAAACACACTCCAGAGGGGGCGAGGCCAGGGTGCCCCCACCAGGCCTTGCCTTCGAGTGGTGACCCCTTCAGAAGATTCCAGCCAACACCAGGGGAGGCAGTAGTAGCAGTCCCAGGAGAGGGACCCAGACACGACCACCGCCCGAGTTCAGCCCTGACTTGATGCCAGGCTTTCCAGGGCCCTCTGCACCTGTGGGAAAGGAGAGGCTTTGCCTTAGCCTGGAGACAGCTCTGCCTGACCTCCCACCCACCCCACCAGGCATGCAGGTGGCAGCCCAGCAGCCAGGGAGGAAGCTCCTACTCAGAAGGTGCATGCCCCGCCATGCCCATACCATCTATGCCAGGGGCAGGGAGCTGACATTCTGGAGTCAGGAGGGAAGGTAGGGCAGACGCTACAGGCCTTACCTGGCAAGGACGACTGCAGGACCAGGGTACGCCCACCTGTGGCATTAGCGGTGGCAGAGGTATTGGGGGAGTTGGGCAGGGACTTGGAGGAGGTGTGCCCCATGTGGTCCAGTGTGGCCTGCAGCTCACCTGGCTCATCCTGGACTGGAATAACTGAGGCCGAGACCTCAGTGGAAGGAGGTAACTCGGCCTCAGCCTCGCCCTCCTCCGGGGAGTAGGGTAGTGGCTCCTGTGTCCCTGTTAGGGACACCTTAGGGTGCAGAGAACTCTCTGGGCTTCTGGAGGGCATTCTTGTCCTGCTGGCCTCTCTGTCTGCTGACTTGGGGGTGGGATCATGGGTTGATTTGGGGAAGGTGGCTGGCCCCTCATCCAAGGAGAGCTGGCTGTGAGTTGCCAAAACGGAAGGGACCTCAGTTGCCAGGGAAGATGGGGCCTCAGTTACCAGGTAAGGCAAATCCTCAGCCTCTTCAGGGCCTCTAATGGGTTCTGATAAGAGAGATAAGGCCTCTCATTAGTGCTGCAAGCAGGACCTCACATCCCTCAGCCCACAGGCATCAAGGTGAGGCCACCAAATGTCCTACGAAGACACACATACGCACACCTCTCCAGCGAATATGTCCCTCATTGCTAATAAATGTTATTTCTTGTGATTGACACAGTTACTCCTCCATCCAAGTCTTCCTCTCTCTGCACTCTCACCTCCACTTTTCGGGGATTTCTCCAGCTGGAGTCCCGTTCCTAACACGCCTACCGCGTGGCAGGCCCAGTGGTGCGAGTCCCTCTGGCAACGCCCACCAAGAGGCCCCTCCCACCCCAGGCCCTCTCCACCTGGCCACGCCCACCTCGCCCGCGCTCGGAAACTGCCGGACTCTGCTCTAGCTTTGGCTTGGAGGGTTGAAATCCGGTCACTTGGAATGACAGGGAGCCAAAGTGGCTGCGCAAGGAGGGCAGAGCGGGCTTGGCAACTCGGATGGGGTGGGGCCGTCGAGGGCTCCTGGAGGTCGCATCCCGCCGGGCCCCTCACTGCCCACGCACCGCTCGGGGAGCCAGGGGGACCCTAGACCATCAGGTCACCGTCCCTTCCCTCCCTTTCCTCTTTCTCCCCACCCCATCCCCGACTCACCACAGAGGGAGATCTCACAGTGGTAGCCAGAGGGACACTGGGAGCACGGAGTCCCCTCCTGGTAGGGCCTCTGCCTCTTCACGTTCCCCCTGCAGGAGCCGAGGAGGATGCTGGCGGGGAGGGGAGGTCCCTGCCAACTCCTGACGCTATTATCCCTTGTACACACCCCTAGTCCAGAAGTACCCCCGCGGCTTACTTGTTCCCGACTAATTTGCTGGGCCAATGAGAGCAGACTCCCATCCGTGCCCTCCTCACAGGTCCCGCAAGACTGTAGAGTGTAGGCCCTAGACTGCCGCGCCACCTCTTCCTTAGACTGTGTCCCACTCAGCCCTCCCCTGGGCTCGGCCCACCTCCTCCCCCCAGGGCTCCCTCGGGAGGCACTCACGGGGGCTCGTAGTTGCAAACCAGCAATTGGATGTTGGTCTCCTCAACTCCCTGGAGCTTCTCGCAGAAGTGGGAGCCACAGCCAATCCGCTCGGTCTTGGCCCAGACCACCTGAAGGAGGGCAAACCCAACAGTTTGGCCTGGGTAGGTCGGGCCCTGGCTCTCTACACCAGCTTCTATGGGTGGGAGAGGAGGAACCCTATGGCCTGTCAGATCCGAGTCTCTGAGGACACAGCTTCAGGACAAAACTCTGGACAGAGGGCCGTGGGGGGGCGGGGCAGGGGTGGTATTTGTCCTGAACATCCTCTCCCCTGCCAACCACACACACAGTTTCACCAGGCCTCTCTCCCTCTGAAAACCTTCCCTTTGGAAATACTGTCATAAATTGTTCTTGCCCGCTCTCCCTAAACGCACTTGCATTTTAAATAAGGGGTATATCCAAAGGAATAAATCTCAAACGGGAGAATCTTAGATATCAGCAATCAGCAACAACCAAAGTCCAAGGAATGGAAGGGGAGGAGCCGTTGTGGAAATGGAACTTTCCCCATATCACAAGTAAGCAGGGAGCTGCTTGGCGTCTCCCAGGCAGAAATGACCCCAGAGAGCGTGTGCACTCAGCCCTAGAGAAGGTTGGGGTGGAGGTGGGGCAGAGCTGCTCCTGCTGGGCACCGATAGCAATCCCTACAGAAGGATGTGTGGGTATGGGGGATGTGAGCTGTGACAGAAGACAGAAGGAAGGGGGCAGGGAGGGCTGCTGGACCCTCACAACTTCCTGATCTGGGTGGGTGATGTTGGGATTTCCTTCCTTAAAGATTAGCGCTAAAAATACCACCCAAAAGGGGCACTGGAAAATGGAATTAGTGGATATGGGTGGGAAGATGGTGAGTGTGTTTTCCTTTTTTAAAAAATTGTCATCTTATTGTTTGAAAAAAATAGGTATTGGGAGGAGAAAAGGAAGAATTCAGTAACACTGTTAACTCCCCTATGTGAGCACACACACGCCCCTACACTCTCATCTGCAAACTCAAACTTTCAAAATGCAGCAAGAACCCTGACACAAACACAAAGTGCCTCAGAGGCAGGAAATGCTCTCACAGGCTCCTGAAACCTTCACTCCGTGACCATTTGCTCTTATCTTACACATAGTTTTTAAAAGCTAAAGAAAAATCAGACAAACAAAATTGTTGATTTGTCCTTTTGCTCCCTGGCAGACTAGAAGCAGCAACTTAGACATCGTGAGAAATGACAAAAGAGGGAGAGGGAAAGCAAAGAGAGAAGTCAGGGGGCATTCACGGCTGGGGGAACAGCCCTGCGTCTTAGGTCAGAGGACAGGACTGCTTAGAGCTGTCGGCTCGCCTAGTACACTAACTACTGTCCAGGAAACTAACTCAGATCCCTTGGCACCCCCGAGGTGGAGAGGGGCCCCTAGGTTTTCAAAAGCCTGTGCTTTCTAAAGAATCAACCGAAAACGGGTCAGACAGTTTGAGCAGCAGACTCTGTCGGGGGCCTGGACTCCACATGAATGGCTGTGGAAGGACAACTTTTATGAGGGATCTAAGGGGGCTTAGCGTGTGGACTAAGGGACTCCCGGCCGCGGAGGGAGAGGTGGTCCCGCCCCCCGGCCCGCCTCGCACCTGCGTGTAGTGCCCGCACATCTGGCCCGGGTCGCAGGTGCCAGCGCTGAGGTTGTAGTGGTCGTGCTCTTGGTACCACTGCTCCACGGCCAGCGGCACGTCCATGGCCTCGTCCGTGATGGCGAACAGGTTCTCGCCGCGCCGCCCACGCTCCTTGTTGTGGCCCCAAATGCACTGCTGCGCGTAGGCCTTGGCGAAGGCGGCCAGCTCCTCGTCCCACCTCTGCGGGGCAGGTCAGGGAGGGAGGTGAGGACGCTTAGGGCTCGGTGGAGGCAGGAGTGGGGGGTGGGAGAAAAGAAGGTTGAGGGTGTCCTGGGGACCTCTGGAGGCCAGAGACCCTCCCCTCCTTAGCAGAGTGACTCTTGGCTGTGATCTGGAAGAAGTCTCTGCTCCTGGTGGGCTCCTGTGGGGAGGTGGGAGGGTGCCACCCCAGGCGGTGAAATTAGCAAGGTCAGGACCGTTCACCAGCTTTGCAACTTTGGACAGATTGCCTAGCCTTTCTGAACTTTCACAGGACTTTGGGAAAAACAAAGGAGATGATGTTTGTGACAATGCTATTAGTAATTAATATTAATATCCTTCTATGTGAAAGGTGGGTGGCAGCGATGCCCCTCCTACCTCCCAGGGCTGCCTGAACCGCTGTGAAGCCCCCAGGATGTCCAGCAATGTTCAAGGGCTGGGGTGTTTATTCAGCTGTCCTCCTCCCTGGCCCACCCATCGTAAATCTGACTTGAGTGGCCAGCACTCCCCTCTCAGCTCCCACTCTCCTCTTGGGACAGCCCACTCTCCATGGGTTTACCAGCTCCAGGCTTCCCTCTCCAGTGCTGTTCCCAAGTGCTCTCGACTCTTGTCAACTGATAATCCTTTTCCCCAAGAAAATTGTCTCTGTGTGACCCTGATCGAGAGGCCTATTTTCAGAGCCTTGGTGGCCAAAAGAGGTGTCAGATCCCAAAGGTAGTCGTCTCCAGTTGGGGACCCCAGGTGAAACAGTGGGAGGGGGCATTTTAGGTTAGGGGGCCTCTGAGGTTCTGTGTCCCTGGCTGGGAGGACAGGCCCAGTGTGGGTGGGAGGATGGATTAACAAGGCATCTGACCAAGAGATTGGGGAGGGAGGCCTGGATCCCATTAAGTTTTGTCCTTGGCCTCTCCTGGAAAAGGGTGGCCTGGCGGCAACTCTTGCTCCACCCTCCGGAGGCCCAGCCAGCTGCGGGAGCCAGACACCCCATAAGGCGCCAAGAGCTTGGGTGACCCTGAGGGGAGGGGGCTGTGTGGCCACACCCACTCCCCCCCATCCAGGGTTCTCAGGAGCAGTTGCCTGGGGTGCGGATGGGAGCACTGGGCTAGGACAGCCCCACTGCCGTGACTTCAGGTGAATTCCTCTCCCTCTCTGGGCATTTTGTCCCTAGTCACTGGTCCTTGAAGTTCTCTCAGACTCTGGCAGCAGTGGAAGATAGGGAGTGGGAAAGGGGCAGGGTGCTAGGGACCAGGATCAGGGTGTCTGGAATGACCTGCAGGGCTCCAGACCAGACTGTAAGCTCCTTCGGGACAGGGCGCTGACGTATCCCAGTGTCTGGCTCGGTGCTGGCACATGGCAGATGCTCAAGAGCTGTTTGTCAGCTGTTGACAACTGAGACAAGGCCCTGCTTACCACGGTCTCCCCTACAGAGCCCATTATCATTTCCATTCTGACTACGTGCCCAGAGTCCCACCATTAGAGAGTCATTCCTTTGGGTCTTAAGGCTTCTCAGTTGTCTGGAGACCCTGTGGAGTTTAAAGAGTCATGGTACCCACCCACATTGGCCACATAATCACCATCTGAAAGCAAATCCACTCATTCATTCATTCACTCACTCGTTCATTCATTCAACACCTGCGCACCGTGCCAGCCCTGGGGCAACAGCAAAGACCAAGAAGCCCAAGGTTACATTGTCGTAAACCATTAATTGGGCCACAATGTGGTGACTGACAGATATGCCATAGGTAGTATAGAGGCACCAGAGAGGGCCATTTAGCCCAACCTGAGGTGGAGAAGGAGGCACTAAGCTGAGCGTTAAAAGGCAAGGTTTGGCCAGGTGGACAGGGGAAAGCGTCCTGAGCAGAAGGCACAACGTGAGCAAAGGTGTGGAGGGGAGAGACAGTGTTATGGCTGGGGGAGAGACTCCTCCTTCAGGTTACTTCAGTAGGAGGAGTCGGCAGGCCAGGGGCTGGAGAGGTGGGCAGGGACCAGACACAGAGAGCCTCCTCAGGTGCTGGGGCTTCACACTGAGGCGGTAGGGAGCCAGTGGGAGCCACTGAAGGGTTTTGAGCGGGGTCAGCCTGGTGTGTTGGATCATTCATTCTGGTGGCAGAGGCGAGAGGCTGGGGAAGCAGGTAGAGGCTGTTCTAGTTCTCGGGAGAAGAAAAGAAAGATCGAACCAGGGCTGTGCCAAAGGGATGGGAGGAGGTAGGATTCAAGGGAAAGTGAACTTTCTGGGAGGTAACGATGGTGATGGTTAGATGTGGAGGCTGAGGGAGGGAGAAGAGTCGTGATAACCCCCTCCTGCCTCACCCTGGATCCATACCTCCTTTTATTAATTGAACGCTCATTGAGCACTTACTATGCGCCAGGCACTGTTCACATATTCACTCATTTAATCCTTACAACCACCCTACAAGGGAGTTGTTATGTTGTTATCATCCCCAATTGACACATGAAGAAGCTGAGGCACAGAGAGATTAAATACCTTGGCCAAGGTGGTCCAGCTCATAAATGGCAAAGTCAAGATTTGAACCCAGGCCATCTGGCTCCAGAGTCTCTGCTTCCCTCCCTGCTGAGGTTGAGCCTGAGTCTCATCCCAGATTTATCCTGGTGTCCCAGTCCAGCCTTATCTCCACCCCCTCCTCCGATCACTTACCACCAGGCATCAGCCTGTGCCCTCAATACCCTAACTGCTTCCCAGAATGTCGCCCCACCCCCCAGGTCCACTTCTGTCTGCAAAGCAGCTCCCAGCCTGTGTAGCCCCAGCCTCAGCCAGCAAGACTGTAAGACTGATGTAGGGCACCAGGGATCCACAGATGGGGAAACTGAGGCTCAACAACGAGTTTCGGGCCTCTATCAGGGAGCTGTTGGCAGAGCTGGTCCAGCCTCCGGGGCTACTGACACATTGCCGGCAGCTCCTTGTTGCGGAGGCTGACAGGGCTGTGAATGGCGATGCTGTGTGTGTTGGTAGAGACCTTCCTAGATCTTTCTCACTTCTCATCCTGTCTGATGCTCAGGGCAGGGATTGCCAGCCTCATGTGATTGATCAGGAAATGGAGGCCTTTGAAGGTAAAGGGGCCCACCCAGAGTCCCTTTGCCAGATTGGAGCCCCAGGCTCACTGCTGAGTTCTCCAGGTGCGACCTTGCTCTCGGGCGCCAGCTCTGGGCCCCTGGACACTGCCCATCACACTCCAGGGCACCTGAGGACGGCTGGAGGGGATGGGCCAGGCCAGCCCTGAGGGAGGGCAGGAAGGGGGTGAATTTCTGACTTTTTCTCTTTCACTCCTGAGCATAAACATCCTGCCCCTACCCCTGCCATCAAATCACTCTCCTCTGACAAAAGTAACCACTGCCTGTGTGTCATCTGGCTTCTGTTGTCTGTAGGCATGTCCGTGGACATTTGCTACATCTGCATGTGTGCCCCACCAGTGTGCAATAGTATTTTTTACGTGTTTTTAGGCTTCATGTAAATATATTCGACTGTATATATATTTTTTGAGATTTCATTTTCCTCCCCCACCCAATGCTATATCTGTGAGATTCAGTCCATGTTGATATATATGTGTCTCTAATGATGACCCCATTTTACAGATGAGAAACTGAGGGTCATTACCAGGTTAAGGGATTAGCCCCAAATCACAGGTCTTGTAGGGGCTGAGACAGAATTTGGACTGTGTGATGCAGACCCCTCTCTGCTGCTCGTTCCTGTTCTCACCCATCTCCCGGGACAGCCCTCCTACCCCAGGGGCCGGGACCCATGCTGCTGGCCCTGTTTCCTCTTCTCATCTCCTTGGAAGACATCTGAAAGGCCAATTTCACCAAGGTTAGGAACTTCCCACGTTCCCCCTCCCAGGGGCACGTGCATTTTCAAAAGTGCTGGGAAGGGGCCATTGGAGTAGGAAGCTGGGATTTCCAGGCCTGGCTCCACCTCCTGTGTGACCTGTAAGCCCCTGAGGGACCAGCAAGTCTCTCTGAGCCTCAGTTTCCTCATCTCTATAATGGGGCTGTTTATGGGGACCTGTGAATTATATAATGCTAGAGAGATGAGTCTCTGAGATAGCTTCAGCTTGGTGGCGGAAGGCATTGGTGGGGGCCCCTGCCCAGCATCCCTTCAATTCTGGCAGGCAAGCGTCCCTGGCTACACTCACCATTTGCAGCATGTCGGCAGCCGGTGGAGACACCTGGGCACGGTAGAGGTTGTGCAGCTTCACCATCACGTGTTTCTCATCATCACTGAGGGCTCCAGCGGGGCCTGTGATGGCCACCAGCAGTAGCAGCAGCGGCAGCAGGAGCGCCAAGAGACTGTGAGAGCTGTGCATGGTGGCCAGAACTCTCTGCCTCTCCCATTCAGGGGTCTGGCAGCTGGATTTAAAGTCCTTCCCACACAAGCACCACCCTGGCTGGGGTGGGTGGGAGAGGCTGTGTCTGGAGGCCTGGCCCAGCTCACACAATGTCTCGGGGAGGGCTGAGTCCACTCCCAGCATTTATCTCCCCTCGGAGTCCTTGGCAAAAGCTCCCTTTCTCTCGGTAACAGGGGCTCAGGCCAAGAGCTGTGTGAGTTTCGCAGTCCCTCCCCAGTTGTGGACAAGTTCTCCAAGGTCAAAATCACAGTAACCTCTGCAGATCTATGACTGGTAGCACCCAGGTCACACCCACTGGGTGCTGAGGACAAGCAATAGGAAGGAAACCAAACGGACCCTACCCAGAGAGGATTGGGCAAGAGGAGGAAACTACAGGAGGCTTGTGGAAGGACAGAGGAAGACAGGATGTATTTGGTAAATGTTGGGCCAACCTAAGTCCAATTCCTGGTTCTGCTCCTTCACTAGGCTGTGTTTTTGGCAGTTCTCTCAGCTGAATCAGTGACAGTAAAAGTACCTACCTCATAGGGCTGGAAGGAGGATTAAATAAGGTCAAATGCATGTGAAGAACCCAGTACAGTATCTGGCACATAGTAGGCCCTCAGTAACAGCAGACAACGGCCACCCACATGGCGTGGCCTTGGCCAGTTCCCAGCCTGATGGGGAGGCAGGACTTCTGTGAATGGGGGGAGGGATCCAGTGTTTCCCACTCTAGCCGTATCCAGAAATAGGGCTTTTCACTTTTTGCTTCCCTATGCCCTTTGAATACATGTGAATGCATGTGCTTGAGGTGCCCATTTGGAAGTGGGATGCTGGGACCCCTCCTGTTCTGAATATGTAGGAAGTTAGAATGTGGTTTTGAAATCAAGGGAGAGCAGAAAAGCAGAGGGGTGAGTGAGCTGGTGCTGCTAGCAGGAGTTCTGAGGGAGGGCATTGGAAGAGAAATAGGCCCAGTGGCCAAGCGCTTGCATTGTAATGACCACCCAGGGGCCAGGACCAAGGTCTTGGTCTTCACGAAGCAGGAGGCTGGAACAAGTACTCTTGAGTTTAGCTGGGATCCTTGAGGTCCCCATTCTCAGTGAATTTAGACCTAGAAAAAGCCTACTCACTGGCTTTGGAAGATGGCAAGTAAACTGTCGCTGCTTAGGCCCTGGGTACAAAAACAAAAGCAAAAGTGAAAACAACTTGGATTCTACCCAAAAAACCCCAAAAACCATTAGAACTAATTAAAAAATTCAGCAAAGTTGCAGGATACAAAATCAACACACAAAACCAAGCTGTATTTCCATACACTAACAATGGACAATCCAAAAAGGAAATTAAGAAAGTTCAATTTACAATAGCAATAAAAAGCGTATATTACTTAGAAGGTAACTCAACCAAAGAGGCAAAAGACTTATACACTGAAAACTACAAAAGGTTGCTGAAAGAAATTAAAGAAGGGCTGGCCCCGTGGCTGAGTGGTTAAGTTCGCGTGCTCCGCTGCAGGCGGCCCAGTGTTTCGTTGGTTCGAGTCCTGGGCGTGGACATGGCACTGCTCATCAAACCACGCTGAGGCAGCGTCCCACATGCCACAACTAGAAGCACCCACAATGAAGAATACACAACTATGTCCTGGGGGGCTTTGGGGAGAAAAAGGAAAAAGATAAAATCTTTAAAAAAAAAAAAAAGAAATTAAAGAAGACACAAATAAATGGAAAGACATCCCATGTTCATAGATTAGAAGTCTTAATACTACCCAAAGCAATTTACGGATTCAATGCAATGCCTATCAAAATCTGAATGATAATTTTTTGCAGAAATAAAAAAATCCATCCCCAGAAATTATATGGAATCTCAAGGGACCCCAAATAGCCAAAACAATCTTGAAAAACAAAGTTGGAGGTCTCATACTTAAAGTATCAAGACTTACTACAAAGCTACAGTAATCAAAACAGTGTGGTATTGGCATAAAGACAGACCTATAGACCAATGGAATAGACTAGAGAGCCCAGAAATAAACCCTCGTGCATATGATCAAATGACTTTTGACAAGGGTGCCAAGACTATTTAGTGGAGAAAGGACAGTCTTCTTAACAAATTGTGTTGGGAAAACCGGATATGCACATGCAAAAGAATGAAGTTGACCCTTACTTTATACCATATATAAAAATGAACTCAAAATGGATCAAAAACCTACATAAGAGCCAGAACGACAAAACTCTTAGAAGAAAACATAGGGGAAAAACTTTATGACCCTGGATTTGGCAAGGATTTCTTGAGTATGATACCAAAAGCATAGGCAACAAAAGAAAACATAGATAAATTGGATTTAAAATTTAAAAATTTTGTCTCAAAAGACATAATCAACAGAGTGAAAAGGTAACTCAGAGAATGGGAGAAAAGATTTTCAAATCATATATCTGATAAGGCATTCGTCTCTAGAATGTATGAACAACTCCTGCAATTCAGCAACAAAAAATCCCAAACAACCTGATTAAAAAATGGGCAAAGGACTTGAATAGACTTTTCTCTAAATAAGATACACAAGGGGCTAAAAAGCACATGAAAAGATGCTCAATGTCACTAGTCATTAGGGAAATGCAAATCAAAACCACGATGAGATAGCACTTCACACCTGTTAGGATGACTATTATAAAAAACAGGAAACAAACCCCAGAAAATAGTCAGGGTTGGCAAGGATGTACTGAAATTGGAACCCTTGTGCATTGCTGCTGGGAATGTAAAAATGGTGCAGCCACTGTGGAAGGCAGTGCGGTGGTTCCTCAAAAAATGAAACAGAATTACCTTATGATCCAGCAATTCCACTTCTGCGTATATGTCCAAAAGACTTTAAAGCAGAGATTCGAATAGATATTTGTCTACCAATGTTCATATAGCCAAAAGGTGGAAACAACTCAAACACCTATCAATTAATGAACGGATAAACAAAATGTGTTCTATACATACAATGGGATATTATTCAGCCTTAAAAAGGTACGAAATTCTGATGCATGCTACCACATGGATGAACCTTGAAGACATTATGCCAAGTGAAATAAGTCAGATACAAAAGCACAAATACTGCATGATTCCACTGATGTGAGGGATCTAGAGTAGTCAAACTCATGGAGACAGAAGGTAAAATGGTAGTTTCCAGGGACTGGAGAAGATGGAAATGAGGAGCTATTTTTTTTTTAATGAGTACAGAGTTTCAGTTTGGGAAGATGAAGAAGTCCTGGAAATGGATGGTGGTGATGGTCGCACAACAATGTGAATCTGCTTAATGCCACTGACCTGTACACACAGAAACAGTTAAGATAGTAAAATTTGTTATGTATATTTTACCACAATAATAACATATTTTTTAAAACCTTGGGAATTCTTAAATTGGTCCAGAGTGAGGTGAGCTGAGTAGTGGTGGGGGGCAGACACAAAGGTAAAATCGGGTCTGGAGGGAGCTCTCACAACCCAGGCCACTTGGGCCGTCCATGAGGGGGAAAAGAATGCCCAGCTTCTCTCACAATCAAAAGTTATGAAACACGTGTGGAACTGAGCTACCGTGAGCAGCGGCATACAACACAAACGGGAGGATTTCTTTCCCCCAAAATTGAGATGATAGAACAATCTGGAAGATTTTCAAATAACTGTATTTAAAATAACTAAGGAAATAAGTGGGTAGCTGAAAAAGGAAGAAGAAAGACAGGCGGCGGAGTAGAGCATGGTGCGGGAGAGAATTAGGGAGTCCAGGAAAATGGGCTAGTCTGTGGGCCGGGCGGAGAGACTATTGGGGGAAAATCAGAGTGGAGGAGAGAAGACAGGGAGACCAGATCAGACCTACAGCCCAGCCCCCGGGCAGCTCTCCCAGCATGTTTAGCTGACGAAGCTGTGAGACGGGTGTCTTTCCTCTGTGGACAGGAGAACTTGGCGAATGCCCGACGGCTTGGGCTTGAGACAGAAATAAGGAGACTTAGAAGAAAACAGAGACTTCCCAGGGAGTCAAAGTGCTGCAGACCTGGCCTGGGAGATGCTGGGCTCAGGACTGGGGAGGACACAGTTCTCAGACGCCTCCTGGGCAGAAGCAGGCACGGGTCCTACAGGCTGCCCTGGTGTGCTTGCCTCCATGGCCTCTGCCTGGCTCCTCTACAGCAGGGAAAAATAGCTATGTAGGCTCAGCACAATGGACAGCATTCACTCATTCGTTCATTCATTCAACAAAAATTTTACAGAGCTTCTCCATTGTGCCAGGCTCTGAGCCGGATGAATAAGACAGAGCTGGTCCCCACCGTCATGAAGCAGGAGGCCCACCAGAAAAAACGTATAGCATTGAGGATGAGAGTGTGGGGCTTGCCAGCTGGGTGGCCTTGGGCAGGCTATTTCCCTGCTTGCTGGCCTCAGCTTCCTCATCTGTAAATTGGGTTTAGAACAGAACCTCCCTCATAGGATGGCTGTGAGCATTAAATGAGTTAGTACATGGATAGGACTTGGGGTAGTCCTGTGCTCATCAAGTTAGCCATTGTGAATGCGTTCGTCATTATTAGTATTATTATTACAGATGGGAGAACTTACAGGGCCTCAAGTTGTAACAGAGAAAAAATACAGCAGCCTAGCCTGGCTTTTCCTCTGGGAGAGGAGCACCCGTGGCCTGGGTGAGCTCGCAGCTGTAAGGGGAGGACACACACACCTCTGAGGGGCAGGGTCGCTGGTGTGAGTAGTGCAGGGGGTACAGACTGGGGAGCCTGAGAGGGGAGAGTGAGATGGGAACGGAGACTGGGAGGCTGACTGGAGCCAGCCAGAGGGTTTGGGGACCAGGGGCATGCAGCCAGAGAGCCCTGCTCTGCGCGTGCACCGTCCCACGCAGCTCTCAGAGCCCTCGCCATGTGGGTGACCTCATTTACTTCTCATATGACCGCTCTGAGGTGGGTCTCAGAATCACCGCACACAAGGAAACTGATGCCCAGAGAGATAAAGTGATTTCCCCAATGTTGGGGGGCGGTGGGGCTGGGACAAGAGCCTGGACCTGCCGCTAGGGAGAGAGGGAGGTTGAGGGAAGCAGATGGGGAGAGAGAGGAGTGGAGGACAGGAGGTGAAGTGAGGCGAGAGGGAGAGGGAGGGAGAAATGACAGAATCAGATACATGGAGGATTGGCTGTGGTTTCCACGGACTGCGTTTTTATCTGTAAACCAGGACTGAGAGGAAAT